GCTTGAAAATAATACCATGTGTGTTGGTGAATGATATAAACAGATGAAATCTACTCAAACAAAACTTTTACGATGGCTAGCTAAATATGTCACACGAGTCTCTCGTATGCCTTATATCTTGTTATCACAAAATTCTTTTATCTATGATATGACTGAGTTTGATATTTACCAAAAATGGAAATGGAAATGAGTCAATGTTAAGGATATTTAGATTGCACAAAACATAATCATTAATGTGGAGTTTAGTGTGAATAGATAATGACAGAAGCATTAGTTTCTTTGGAACAGTTTTTATCGTTTCACTTACCAACTATGATGATCAGTTCAGACAAATAACATCCTAACTTGATTAGTGTTCCAATATTCTAAATTTAGTATAACTAAGTGGTTTTTATGCTGAGTTTTGCAATTTTTCAAATCCCAAAGTAAATTATTAAATAGTCTTTTATATGAACTCTCAACAAATGTAGTCGTAAACAAGCGGATACTTTGTACTGTTCTCAGAATAACAGACTTGCAAGCTCGTAATAACGTGTAAGCTCGATGAATTCATGAATGAATTCAATTTCTTGAATCACTGTACAAGTACGATAAGTTTTCACTTCAAAAGTAGCGAATTATGTTGTAAATATAAAAAGTAACATTCAATGTTTTCTCTTTTTTGTTTACCGTTTTTATAAATCTGCTAATGATGCATCTCTTGACATTTCACTCATAACTGATAATGATTGCAACAGATATCATTCAATTAATTAATAACGTTTTTCTCCTTAACCATTCCCTTGATCTATAAGGAATGGACGGAAAAATTCGAGTTAGTAAATGAATTATATGAGATGATTGTCTGAATCAATAGTACTTAAATATAGAATATAAAACACAGTTCGAACAATAGGTATGATGAAGAAGACTTGTAGCTCAGGTGAATGATTTTGATGAAAGCTCCACAACCAAACCATTCAGTTCAAAGAACAAAACTCCATCAAAATAATACGTATTCATAGGTATCTATAAGGACTTTCAAGTGATGCAAATGATAATTCATCTTATTATTATTTCTGATAATAATCTGCACAATTTTTCAGTTACTAAACATTCCTCACTATTTACTAAGTGTAATCGTATTCAACTTTGGTCAGATTGTTTTTGCATTAGAAATAAGGAGTGAGAAACCCATCTTCAATCAGGTTACCAAGTAGGTGAATAATTATATTTTTAAAATGCATTGTTTAGTCAAATGAAAAACTATTTCACATAAACAACTCTCTATACAACTTTTCATTAGCTAATCACTTTAAAGTTATTACAAGCAAGTAGATCGAAATGTCATGATCATATTTAACTTTCATAGTTAGTTATGTAGAAGCCTCGAAAGAGGAATCTATGAAAAAAGCTTACGATTGGAGACAATCTTCACGAATATATCAAAGATACAGCTGTTTTATTTCATTTATTGACAGTTTTAACCAAGATTTTTTAAATATGAAGAGTATGACTGTAGCACGATGCATTTTACAGAAGTAGATCAATCAAAATAGATTACAACACAGTTGAATTAACATTTTGGTAAATTGTAATATTTATAGGTTTGGACAGTTTTGAACTAAATGATACATCCATGAATATAGGAATTCATCGACTGAGTTATTTAAATACTTAGCTCAACAACTATATTTATTACATGAAAGTTCAATGTGTTTATTCAGTCAACTTCCCTCCAATAATTACCTTCATGGTAATAAATAATTTCAGTTTAATAGTTGAATTCATGAGTCCAACAGGTCCTGGGTTCAAATCCTGCGGGCGGGATAGTGGATGCGCACTGCTGAGGAGTCCCATACTAAGACAAAAAGGCCGTCTAGTACTTTCAGGTTTTCCATGGTGGTCTAGCTTCAATTAAATCATGAATTCAACTATTAATTTACTATAATATCCAAAAATCCCCTTTCTGATAATAAATGTAGTTTATTTTAATATTCTTGTTTTGAAAGATGTATACTACATCAGACTGACATGTTTACTGAATTCATGTTTTGTAGTCTATCGTGTTTTAAAATACTTAATTGTGATTACTTCTATGAAACTGTCTAAATAAAAATGATTAATTCAGCAGCAGTATTCTACGGTATTCCAATGTAAATGCTCTCTTTCTTAATATCTAAGAATTACTAGAAGATAACTAACACTAAAATTTAGATACTTGATAGAGATTTTATTGCTCAGGTCAACATTTCGTTACGTTTACCTATGTTAAATGTTCAGTTGATTTTCTGGGTAACCTGAATTACCAAGCATATAAACAGTTAGATCAAGTTCCTTGAGTATAGGTTGTGAGCAATTTACAAATGTTTATATGTTTACTATTCTGACTTTTAAAGTGAATGGATTAGTTACAATGATTGATCACCGAAAAATGATGATTACCATGTTTTTTTAGTCCTTAAGGCTAATACAATTTCATCAAAAAAGTCATAACGTGACCACTCCTCTAAATGACTCGATATCGCATTGATTATATTTTGCTGTTAGGTTGTTGGAAGTAGTCGGCTAGAAACTTTTGACCCAGGTTTTGGGCTCATTAACACTCGTCAGTAAGCCGTATCTAAAATAATTAAAGGAACTAACTCTCACTGTAAAACAATTACATACGTATAAATTGAATATTTTTTTTTGATAAATTCAAAGCAAATTCCATAGTAATCACGTCGAACTAATGAGACAAGGTAATCGGAGAATATACATAATTAAAGCTGGTAGAGATGTAAAGTATACTCTATTCAGATTGTGAATAAAATAAACTGTGATAATAATAAATTAATTCGAGATTACGTAGTAAACGGATTGATATTAATCATACGATTGATACTAGATCTAAAGTGATGAAAAATTATTTCAGAGCTTAACAACAAAATATAATTAAATTAGAAAATAATTAGGTTTAAAAAGTACCAAGCAGAAGGGTATAAACAAATTAGACATATCTAGTTACTTTGTTATCTGGTTGATTATCCGTTCATTGACTATGTGTACAATCAAGTTAGCAAAAGAAGCTGGATCTACTTTTTTGTGAAAGTATTTCATTATTATTGTATCTAGTTCTTGAGAATACCATTTGTACTATCTGAAATTTTTAAAGCCTGGTCATCTTTCCTAGATTAATTTTGGTAGATATGACACATTAAGGGCAATAAGTGATTGATATTCATCTCAGATTAAACTCTTTAATATCATGAATATACTTTCACTTAAACACAGTGGGAGTTGTTCCGTGGTATGGAATAGTGAACTCTTAAAATATCAGTCAGTGTAACTCCAATATAAAATGTTGGATTTTTATACATAGTAAGAAATAACTACCTTAGATAATCTATGTTTTAGTTTCACTGTCAACATTGGACGAGTACAAATCATTAGTTGTAGTTGATTGGGATACGTAAACCCAAAATACGATTCAGGAGAAAGAAAATCATTATCCATTTTCGTTACATTAATTTACTGTCAATTCTGATCACGAGCTTCCAATATATTTCTTCACCATGATCTCTATTCACTTTATTCCTGAACTATGATAATTGTAATCGATACACAACTGATGATCTAAAATGTATTTTGATTTCTGATGGGTTTTAATCAACAATTCATCTATGCAACAACTGTACTTTTTAATCTAATTAGTGTGGCAAAGAAGATGAAGAAGACAATCGTGGTTTTATTTACAGAACCGAATGTGAAGTCGCAAAATAATAGCTTATCACACGAACATGTCGGTATTTTTACTATAAAGAATATCGTCCAAGTATAAAAGCAACTTCAGATATACGAATAAAACGATAGAAAAGAGAATCGAGGTTTGTGTAGAAATTAGACTGTTCTTCCATCAACGCAGAACAATGTGTAAAGAAAAGAATTTCTAATTGAGATCATAAATCGATCAATGTTAAACCACTATTGTAGATCTAGAAGCACTGGACGACCGTTTCGTCGTAGTATAGGACTCGCGCCCATGGTTCCGCACGCAGTATCCGAAACCAGGGACTTTGGTCTCGCGCGCGAACGCGTCTAACCTCAGATTAGGCATAACTTTTCAAAAAAATCCCTCGAATTAACCAAGAAACATTCATTGATCAAATATTTTATTATATATTTGATTAGATTCGTTGAGGTAACTAATCTGAATTATCTACAATCAGTTATTTTGCCTTAGAGTCATCAACAATCACAATCAGTTATTGTATATTTATACATAGAAACAGATATATCTGTTCCCGTTTACAAGTACAAACATTGTTTAAATGTAGTGTAAATTATGTTCACTTATCTTTATTACGTGAATTTTAGGTTTTTACTGGTCATGTATAAATTCATATGCTTTAACAGATTGATATAGAGATTGATAGAGAGACACATGTTTATAAAATTAAATAAAGAATAAAGGTAAACAGAAGACGCTTCGCGTAGGTGTACTCATACAAGTTACTATTCAAACGATTTTTTTATTATTATGTAATAAATATGCTTAAAATATGCTTGTAAGTTAGATATAAGTCAACATACACTACTGTTTTTATGGTCTTATTTAACAAATTTTATAATTTCTTTTAATGTTAAATTCTAATCATACTGATGGTATTTATTGTATAGAATACTTGACAAACATTTGTTATTATATGATAAAGTAAACATCACAGAATACATGATGTTCACATACATATGTATATGTTACTATATTTAATTTAGTATGTTGTGTCGTATTTTCTTTTCTTCTCTTTGTATTACTTTACATAGGTCAAACAAGTGATTCAAACATAATACAACTATCTCTGATAACTAACAACTACTTTGATAAATGGAATGTTCTTTTAAACTACGGATCTTTTACAAAAGAATTTAGACAATTTTTATTGGATACACATTGTTAATGTTTGATATATTGTATTACTGTTGATGATATTCCTTGCGGAATAATTTATCAGTGAATCAAATTCAATATTTCAAAAAAGATGCTGAAAAATACAAGTCAGTGTGTGATGTTAACATTTTTACCAGTTATTTTAGTGTTTTATGCAAATTTATCTACAATATTTTAGAATATATACTTTAGGTTACATAAATGTTATTTCATTTTAATGACTCCTCCCCCCACATAAAATAATAGTTTTCATGATATGAAATCATTTTTCGTTACTATGCTAATTCACTTGTTTGAAATACCTTTTGTCAAGTATAAACGCTTGTTCGATAAAATTGGCATTTTGAAATTTATTTTACTTTAGATCCACTTTCCATATTTATTCAAAATAATTAATTAATAACATTGCAAATTATAAATATCTGTGTTGGTATTGTTTGCCTGAATCTTCCCAACTATGAGATATAGGTACATCCAGCTGACGAGTTCATAATAGGACATCATACATTCCACTTCCAGCCACCATCCGTCTTTGCTTATAAATATCCGATTTAAAATATTTGTAACAATTTTAGATTTGTATTAGAAGTTTACATTTTAAGTTCAATCAGCATCTGGAACTTAAAGTCAATAAACTTTTAAATATTAAATATCTTTTCTTAAAAATTCAGTTTACGCACATATTCAAATCACTATACATTGTAGTAGCATTCAAAATAATACATCACTATATCGTATGAAGTTCTGGTACGTACAGAAATTAAACCGTTGACATAGGACACTACATCCTATTACCAAAAGTAGCATACTCTGACTCAATTATTTCAGATTACTGTCTAATTCACTAAATTTCACATTGTACCTCAAATAAATCTGCTAATAATATCAAAACAATCCTAACCTATTATTATCATGGATTCTTCTATATACGGAACATATACTGACATTTAAATTTATTAATTCAATGGTATGAAGTAGCAGAGCTATGATTCGTTATATACCCATTATCATATAATATAACATTCATTAATTAACATGTTACTTCCCTGTTGAAACAATACTCAATAGAAAATAACATGGCTGAAATGACATAGAAATAAATTTTGTTAATAAAAAAAAGAATATCAACGAACTAGGTTGACGTTAATTTTTTTACTTAAATTTCGACTACTTTAAACTGTAACCATTTATGGAAGATTATTATATTTGAAATAATCTTAGCGATTGAAATTTAAATAATTCCAACGTTTCGTCCAGCTAACTTGTCTGGACTTCTTCAGAGTAATAATTAAAATCACCAAAGAACCAATCAAATTTGGATATTGATTTATGGAACAGTTATAAAAAAATTAAAAGGGAATTAAACCTAATCAGCTTAAATGTATAGAATTTTAGCTACGAATATTATAACTGTGTTTATAATCATTTATTATCCATTTAATTATTATAGAAGACGATTACACACTTTCATTAAATGAGTAATATATTGAGTAACATCACTTAAGCAGGACATAGACTGGTAATGATGTTTATTATTTATCATTATCAATTCTGTAGTTAATCATAAAAGAGATTTTCAAGAAAATCACTTTAAATTTTATTATATAACATCCATTCCTTTTCTTCTTTTATTTTTATGAAAAAAAACTGAATCTTGCTAGTCATAAAATAAGTAATCAGTCAACTATACACCAACTTGTAATAAATTGGTACTTAAGATGATAATCTTAGATTTAAATAAAAGTTATTAAACATAATTTCAATTCATTCTTACATAAGGTGTAATTGAGAAAGAAAAGATTATCATGATGGTCTATCTTCAATTAACTCATGATTTCAACGATTAGAATTACTATAATATTCATAAAACCTTTTCTGATACGAAATGATTAGTTACGAAACATATATTTACAGAACACTATTGTAAATTTTATAGTTAACTTTGACTTTAAAGTGTCACGTTTAGCTTTCATTGCATGGAGTTAAGGAGAAACTAATGAGTAGTAGTTGTTATTTGTAAATTTATTCTTTTGTATACTAATTGAATAATAAACCTCTTATCAAATCAGTATAAAATGTATCGTAGTTACGCTAATCATTTTCAACTGATTTAAATTGATGAAATACTTTAAGCCTATGTCTGTTTTTATACACATACTTCCTTTCATTATTTTAACGAGAGCAAGAACAAAGACTGGTGCAGAATAATATGAATTCATTTTGTTTCGTCAGTTCCTCATCAGCTGCTTACAACCTAAAATAGTTGAAAATCAACGTTATTACAGATATTGACATACTTATACATAAGAGGGTGAGTAAACATGAATATATGTATCACGATGGGGCGTAGATTCCGATAGAGTTAATAAGATCATGAAAATTTTGTTTCGAATAAATAAAGTTTGTAAGGGAAGGTTCCAGAACATTGAAATAGTGACTAGGACTCACGGATTTAAGAAAACATACTAGATGATTATGAAGTGAAATAACTGAAAATCGATTATTGGTAATAAAGAAAGATGTGAATTGAAATCAGTCAGTTATGAATGATGTAACTTTAAAATTCGGAAACAGTTGAAATAGTGAATGACGTAATCAATAAATAAATAGGGGGGGGGGTAATGTTGCCAGGGCAAAGAAAGATTTATTACTGTTTCTTTTGGTATACAAAGATCTGGTTTTAGACGTTTGATTGCTATCGCTTCGGAGAATTTTAAAAGGTTTGAGTTTGATTGTTTGTTAATCAACTTAAAGGACTTCAGTGTATCGACTTCGTGTCCTGTATCAAGGAGATGTCCTGCGACGGCACTGCTGAATGCTTTTAGTCTGTCTGATGTTAAACTCTTCGGAATATGTTCTTTAAATCGGACGTAGGCTCTCCTTTCTGTTCTACCAATGTAACTACTTTGACAGATACATGTACATTTGTGTACACAGTTGGTGGTAACATGAAAGGGATACTTGTCGACCTTTGATTGTGTCAAAGAACATGTTATTTTGACAGGAGAATCAATTTAGATGCAGGATAAGTTCTTGTCAATGCAGTTTTTAGTCTAATGTTGATTGCCCGTTTTAATCATATATATAAAGGGCGAATACCTGTGCATCAGATTCTCCCTTTATCCTTGGTAATCATATCATTCATTTTTTTATTCATCATATTTCATATAAGATTTCACTTAAACGCATGATATCATGAATTTATATCCACTTAGCCTACAAGAAATTTAACCTTTCAACAGTTAAGAAATTTTGGTAAGAACATTTTACATGGTAATTACCAGTTTAAATCAATGGACATTCAACTAATTTACATAATAACAGTTATGTAATACTTCACCGATTTCACTAAGGTATCACAAATTTTTAAAACGAGTTAAACATAATTCATTTAAATCCTAGATAATAAAATTTCCAATCCATACAATCAACGATTAACGAATAACTCATTTCAACAAGAAAACCGTAGATAACTAATTATACCTGTTTTGCATGATAAACTTATTATAGGATATAAGAATAAGATTATATAAATGTTGTGCTCAAAAATGGGATATTCTTCATTATGATTTGAATTAAAGAGAATTATAAAGTTTTTATTTTAAAAGCAACAATAGTTAACCTCGAAACGATGGAGAAGATTTATAGCTGAGGTGGATGATTTTGACGGATTTTGTTCTTTAAGTTGCATGGTTTGATCATGGAACTTTCATCATACCTGAAGTTTGTGCTAATGATGTTGTTCAAAATAACAATGAAAGCTCCACGACCAAACCATTCAGTTCAGAGAACAAAACTTCATCAAAAAATTGAAAAAACGTTGACCTCAACTCGACAACAATTAATCACTGAAAAACCCCCATTATATTGAAACACAATTAATATGAGCGAAGATTTTTTTCCAATCATTTCTCATCAGGTTCTACAATTACATCATATCCAATGCAATAATCTATAAAATTGGCGAGATTCAAGACAGAGTACATCATTTGGAAATTGTAATATGTGGATTAAGAATTGTTGTTTGTTATATAAAATCAAATCAGATCGTTAATGTTGGGGTTGAATAATATGAAGTTGCTAACTTGAATCAGTTTATAAGTGAAATGAAATAGTGACATAAATGGTCAGAATAAATATGATCAACATGGGGTGAGAGAGAGAAAATAATGGAATAAAAATCAGAAATTACGTAATATGTAGAATATGAAGTAGGTCAGATAGAGTAGATAGGGGTGGTCGTTTCGTCCTATTGTGAAACTCCCCAGCAATGCGCATCCACGATCCCCCCGCGGGATTCGAACCCAGGGCTTACAATCTCGCGCGCGAACGCTTAACCTACTGGACCACTGAGCCGGCATCCAACTGTGTTAATGTCTAACCTCAACCGATCCACGTAACGGCCGTCCAGTGCCCCCAGGTTTTCATTGGTGGTCTAACATCAATTAGTTTATGATCTCAATCAAAAACTTAACAATCTCCACAACCCGTAAACTGATAATAATAAGAAGATAAGTTTGCGACATAAGAATGAACATTAATCAAATTACGTCACCGTATTTTAAGATTGATTATTAACTAGTTGGCCCCAAAGTTGATCAGGGTAAAAGGAGAAGCTAAAAATTTTTTTTTTGGATGCAAAACTCTGGTTTTTTGATCCGAATAGTAATTACTTCAGCGGTCTGTAGGATTCTCAGTCTGATGGACTTAGGTAGACTGCTGTTAATACGATATATTATTGCGAAAGATTGCTCTATGTTGGCTATATAACCGAAACTAAACAGATCAATTCAAAGGACTTTAAATCCAGGTAGACTACAACTAATATTTTCCACAGGTCCAATACTCACTCCGAGGTTGAAAGATAAAGTACTTAGACTAGCCACCTCTTTCTGTATCTATCGATTCAACTGCTCTGTGGAGCAAGTTACTCTACCTTAAATCTAACCAATTTTTTTTGGATTATTCATTTGGATATGAGATAATTGTAGAACCTGATGAGAAATTATTGAAAAGAATATTCTTCGTTCATATGAATTGTGTTTTAACAATTAATTAGAAAATGTTGTCAGGGATTATATACCCATATCAAATTGTGTTAATCTTATAATTAATTCATTTACATATATTTATTAAACTTTCTGGTTACACTATATAACTTAAGTATTATTTGAATACTCAACATCAGACCACGTGGAAGCATTAAATTACATTCTGAATGGTAAGATAGGATATTTCTTTTCCTTCTTTTTTCTAAAAGAATAATGTAACAATTTTATATCTACATTAAAACGTGAATTATTAGACGACAACTTTTAGACTTTATTATTATTGTTATATTTTTTGTATTTTTTAAAAACATTTGGCAAACTTGTCAACTATTTCATTATCAAATGATCACATGAATAAAAAACATACGACTCTTTTTTGATGACAGAAAGAATGTTAATTGTTTAAACCAAATAATTGACTTTTTATTAGAATTCATTTAAGAATAATAAGTGCTTATATCTAGACCCTCATATATATATGATCATTTAATTTACATATTTTCATATCTGACTAACAATAATGAAGCTTAGATATTGGTAACCCATCCATAGTTTGTGATGTTATTAGATCATGTACTGGAGAGTTTCCAGGTTGACATGTCTAACTTCAGTCAACTAGCGATGATCCTCAACTAAACGTCATTGTTTTATGTGGATAAATTTCTCATACACTGCTTAAAGATCCAGAGGTCAAGCAATCTCTACAAAACCTGGAGGTTCTGGGTTTGATCCTTTTTAAAGTTATTGATACATATTGCTGAGGAGTCCCATTTTGGGTAAATATAGCTACCCAATCCTTTCAGGTTTTCAGTAATATACTAAGGTCGGTTTTTAGCCGCAGTAACATTCAAAAACAGCTATGCAATCTCTATCATGAAGAATATTGATAACTTGACAGTGTAAATTTGATTAATAGATATAAAGATTATATACTGAATTAATCAGTCAATATAATGAAAACATTGTCAGATGTCATATAAATTACCATGGAACTACATTACTACAACTCACATAAGTACGGAAACTTGAAGTTAAATCAATGTATTAGTAAAATTTACCCATCTATAGGTTGTGACGTAGTTAGATCATGTACTGAGGAGTTCTCAGCTACAACTTACTCTAGTACACTATGGTGACCAGCAAGTTATAGTTTGGGAAAATGTTTATTGCTGATCAGTCTAGAGTAGGACAACCGTAAACTAAGTCATTTACTGATGAATTAAGCTATAACGAATGTCACACACATTCTGTTCATACGTTACAACCAAAACGTCTTATTCTCCAGTTAAATACCCTAATTTAAAGCACCGAAATAAATGTTCACATTTTTTATTCTTTTTTAGATCTACATATTACAATCCCTTGATTTTCATTTTTATTTTGAATCGTTCCTTCTTAACCATATTCACCGCATTTAAATTTACACCATTACTGGTATGACTTTTGAATTCAATATTTTTCAGTTTAGTTATTTTTTTTATTGCACTACTTGTGTGAAATGTGACATTCTCAGCAGTGAATCCTTCATATTACTTCGTAATTGACTGATTGACAACTAATTTACAAACCCAACGGTCTCACTAACTTAATGGAAACAATTTCAATGGTTAATATCATGAGTCAGTTGAAGCTAGACCACCCTGGAAAACCTGGAAGCACTGGAAACATTTAGTAACATTGAAGTGGCATACTGTTTTCTACCAATGATCTAGCTAAAAAGAATCTTCTTTTGCTTTCACTGTTCAATTTCAAATATAACTATTAGGAATGACCCATTCTTTAATATCATTATAACATCTCTCGTCCCACCCAGTGAAAATCGTCTAAGTAATTCCTATGATTTGTCTGAATGTTGATTAGGAATAAAGAAAAAGCTAACGATCAATATCAAGATGTAACATTGAGTTTATATCCGACAAATTTATAGAACCATGAAATAAGCACCAAAGCGTTTCTTTTACTTTATTACATTTTCATAGTAGATTACTAATGAAATGAAAGAACAAACGTGCTTTTTTAATAGTTTGAAGTAGGACCAACCTGTTAATAGCACAATCGCAACACCTTTGAGATGTTGTTGTGAAATATTAATTTTTCAAGGTTACACAACAACTATCGATCAAATCGAATAGACGGATATTGGAGTTCTCAGACTTTTTCAAGTTTTCTTAAATTTGTATAATTAAAAACAGTTACGTGACATATTTTAGTATATTCGATATACTAAAAATGATCACATAAACACAATTCGAGACTCACTTTACCACCTATTAATTGCCAGTCTGTAACTCACAGTGTAACGTTTTGTTCTAATTTCCAATGTGTGCAAATCACATGAACTGAACTAACACATCTATGAATAGAGAGCGAGTTATTTCCTTTTACTAGCAAACATCGCATTATCACTCTGATAAATCATTATGAAGTTCATGACTGCATAGGTGGTTATTTTATGGATAAAAACAATTTGGATTTTCTGATGATTATTGCTTATTCAATGCATAATACTCACAAGTAAATGAACTTTAAAAAAAAACTTCAATAGAATCATTGATTCGTCATGATATCATGTATTAATTGAATTTTTGATTCTGGTATATGAGCACCGAGACCATCTCTAATTCTAAAATTGAGAAATACTGATTGTCTAAACGAATATATTCAGGTTCATATCTTATATCTAATAATGGCCACAAAATAACTTCTAAATATTCTCCTATGCAAATAATCATAACAGGGAATATAGTGATAAAGCTTAGTCTATATTTGTTTGAATGTTGAGATCATATATAACTTAGTTTAATTTTCCGGAGCTCATTTTATCCATATAAGGTAAAGCGTTCTTTGTCTAACTGACCTATATACATGTTTCAAGCAAACGTAAAATTGTGATTACAAAAGCGTTTGTATATTTCATATCATATCATATTTACTTTCACAGAACTCCCCTAATTTACTGACTATCATAATAGCCATTATTAGTGTTCTGGCTTAACAATTTTCCATTTAATTGTAAAGTAATGGCAGAAAATACTGAAGACATGTATTTGTTTGGATTATTTTTTAGTAGTGAGATGACACTATGAAAATGATGTAAACAGACTGTCTATGGAATATCATGTTTCAAAGAAGAATTTCTGTATACTCATATATATATATATATATATATATATATATATAATAATATATATATATATATAGCAAACAATGAAGTCTTAGAGTGTTAAATCAATCAGTTTATCAGTCTTTCATTACCATTCATTGTGTTAGAAAATATATTTTTGTACTGATCCAATGATCAGTAGGCATATGTGAATCCTATAATAACTAGAGTTTTCCTTCCATAAATTTATTTAGTAAGTTATGTACCATTATCAGATAATTTGAATAGTTGAGATCATGAGTCAATTGAAGCTAGACCACCATAAAAAACCTGGAAGCACTGAACAGCCGTTTTGTCTTATTGTAGGGCTCCTCAGCAGTGCTCATCCACGATCTTGCCTCGCGAGATTCAAAACCAGGATCTTCGGTCTCGCACGTCAAAATCGTGGATGCTTACTACTGAGGAGTTCCACAATAGAATGCGACGGCCATCCAGTGCTTCTAGGTTTTCCATGTTGGTTTAACTTCAATTGACTCATGATCTCAACTATTGAAATTAATGTAATCTTAACAAATAACCTCTTCTGATATTTTTCAACAACAGTATTCACTAAAAAGTAACATTGCCAGAAATAACTATCAAATATTTTCATACTGATACTACCATTATCATTATTGTTGAAAATTGTTTACTATACATAATTTAAACTAATGTTTATTTTTCTATACAAAGATAAATAAATATTAACTAAATTATAGAATTCATTGAATCTAATAAAGGAAATCCAATATTTAATTAGTTTATTGTATTTAATTACTTATCAATTAATCAATAAGTCAATTAATTTACTATTTCAATAACTTTCTTATTATATTAACCATGTTATAATAATCATATAAATGTTGATTAATTGTACTGTCTTAAAAATCAGTAATATAAACAGTATATATGCTATTCTATACATATACCTAAATATACCATACTCATATAAGCATTATAAGAAACTCATATACATTTATGAGATAAAATGTCAAATAAGAGTCAATAGTAAATTACTTTCATTATATTCAATACTATTATTATTATCATTATTATTGATAACCATTCGTTTTTAAAACAATCTTCGAAATATATAATAAACAGTAATGATAGAAATATTGAATCTCTAACATTCCAACCATAACAACAACAATAACAACAACAAAAATTTATCGGAATAATAGAAGTTAAAAATGGAAAAACATAGTAACATAAAGCTTAAAATAGAGAGAAATGAAACATTTGACTTTTTTAAAAATTGATTTCATAAGAAATTCTTCTATTCTGATTTGAATGAATGTTACATGGTTGTACAAAAATAAGTTTGTTACGATTGTTATCCGATGCCAATTTATTATTAGCCTATGGTTAAATAAAATATTGACAAGAGAATATAAAATAAAAACAGAAGGATATATTATGTTTGTGATATTGTAATCATAGTAACCAGGGACATTTTTTTATATTTTGCATAGTTTTAATCGATCACTTTTTTAAATGAACTAATCAATTTCAATCCGAAGATTAGTTTTGTCATGATCTAACATCGATTGAAAAAGGATAAGAAATCAGTTAGTGGTGAAAAGTTGTTTCATTTTAACTTTGATGAAACAAACATAGTTTTAGCATATTATAAGGTTGTTTCTATTCTACATGTGTTGGTTACATTTTATGTTTTCATTTTTTTTAAACTCTATAGATCACTTGTCCAGTACCCCGTCTACTCATCCAAATGACCGTGAAAAACTGTTTGACTTTGGATTACCGCCCAGTGCAAGGAAAGCTTATGGAAATCTCGGTAAGTGATAAAGAGCTTGTGGTGTGTGCTACTGATATCGAAAGTAGTAGTATGTAACGATAGTCAGGGTTAGAATGTCTGACAACAGGAGGTCGAAAGAAAAGAATGGGAACAGAAAGCAATTGGTTTTGAAAATGCAGGAATAATGAAGTTTGAGACGACTGGCTGATATTTTCAAAAGGAACAGTCAAGTTTTAGATAACTGATTGATATTTTGCGAAATAAGTATTTACTGTATGGTTCTCAGACTTTGGTAAAATGTTCTGTAATTTCGTGTTCTAATATATTCGAATGTCCCTCACCTGTGATCTCGTTCACTATAAGCTGACTAAAACAGCGTAACATAGTGTCATGACTAAGTGTTATCTGATAAATGATCTCAAAGATGGTTGTCAAACAATAACAATAATTTACATCGTTGTTTAATGTTTCTAACACACACTGAAACACTGACAAAAATATGTGAAGGCATGATTCTTTAACTGTCAAAAACATTGTTATCATGATTGCCTAAATCATCATTTTAGCTTAAACCTTGAGGAGTCTAGGACTAGGATGAGATCATTATCAACTACTCCATAGTTTCCGACGGTTGTCTAACTGAAGTTATGAAGCAATGTAGGCTGCATTTAAATGGAGGAATTGTTGCAAAACTATGGAATTTCCTATTTTATTTCATTGTTACAATGTTTAACAAATGAACGTTATTTTGAAAAGCAACGCACAAATTTGCAGAATGGAATTACTTTCTTTTAAAAAGTCATTTCACTGAATGATACACCTTTCTTTGATGTTTCATTTAGATGTTTTATCTCATTTATCCTAAAAGAAATTGACTAAAAAACAATACAACCTATGGCTAATAACTAAGTAACACAATTTGTCTTATCTTTTAGCGTTGATACAGTTTTTTGTGCGTTCATTTCTGTTTATTTTTTTTTCATTAGCTGAACAATCTACTAGGAAAGCCTATAGTAATATTAATCTCAGTGATACATTAACTGACACAGATGGTAAGTATATACAAGTAACTTCAATAGTAAAGTACTTTTAATTCACACTTTTATTATTTGTAATCATATAATTAATTTGTTTTAAAACATGTACAGTAATAGTATCAGAATAAATATACATTCACTTATTACGTTATTTTCCATCAGCTGCTTGTAAACTAAAAGAATATTACAAATCACTTGAAAATAATGGTTCTGCATATCATGTACCATGTTTATAGTATATGTAGGGTTCGTCAAAGCAACCTAGAAAACGTTTAGAATTAAAACTTTCTATTATTCACAAGTTTCGAGATGCAAAACATTGTACATAATGAAAGGCTATAGAAGACAGTTTTCTCAAGTGTTTCGACCATCGATTTTTCAACTGTTATAACATTTCAATCAACCTAATCTTTTTAGATTGGCTTAAGCTTAGTAATTATGACTCTTGGTTGTATATATCCACACGGGACCATAATGTGATCACAAGTTGTTAGGTGGTAAATGGACCTAGGTTCGGTGTTACATAGCACTCGTCTGCATGTTGTACCTGTAACCTTGGGAGAACTGATACTCCCTGGTGAATCCGATCTCGTATCACCCAGCTTCACAGTTAGAGACGTTAGCACTAAGCTATTCGGGCAACAAATCACCTCCTGTAGGACTGTAGTTTATTTACCATTGATTGGTCACTGGGTTGTGACCATGTCCTGTGTGTCAGGTGAAAACAGAATTCTATAGATCAGTTTGCACTGTGGCCACTAGTCATCGCATGAACTATGTTAAGATGAGGTGATGGTTGAGGTTGTCGATTTCAAGTTACTGTGATGCTAAATACCAAAAATCTCAAGCATAAACACTGAATTTCTTGAGATATTTTCCTTCATATCCATTCTTTGGAAAAAACGAGAGATAAACATGTTGAAACTCAAGTATGATGGAGGAAAAAAATAGTTACAACAGCTAACTTGATAAAGAACTTTAATGACTGAATACAAATGGAAGATGGTGAGCGAGAAAAATATTTTTAAAATAAGTTTTAATCCATTACAATGGAAACTTATGTTCAAGAGAAATTTGTTGTAATGATGCATAATTAGTTCCAAGAATTGTTTTCTGCCACAAAATATTTCGCGCCGAATTGATTTATTATTATTATTATTACATGAGTAGAAAACTCAAGTGTTTACCAAACATCTAACATTAAAAAATTGATCTGGATTAAAGAAACATGTATCTTGCTTTATAAGATATTGAAAAAAAGGTTAAATGTAATGTCTGTCATTAAAACACGATAGAGTATGGATTATTATGAATATCATAAACAATAGTTAAATTGAAATCCCAGTTACAACTGACCAGTTAATAGGTAAATCAATGCGATACTTATGTATTCAGAGCTTACTTTACAATATGACAATATCTTCTCATTCAATGCTTACTACAGTCTTTCTCAATCAATTACCGATTTCATATTGATTCACAATATTACTGACTGTTAAAATATGATGTAAACTATGTCTGATGTCAATGTTTATGATGAATAGAAAACAATAGAAATCTAAACAATCATTAGTTTTAATTTTTGTTGTTGATAGTAAATGTGGGTTAATTTAAAAGTAACCGAGAGTTTTTAGTAAATAGTGATTTGATTGATTATTTAATGACCTTGAATTAGATATTGATTTGGCAATGATTGAATTTTAACTATATGTGCAGTTTCTATAAAATTAAAAGGTGAGTTTATAGTCTCTAAGTAAAGGTATGAAACATTTTAAAAGTTTTTTGTCGATAATGTCTCGAAAATTTCATCCAATGTAAATACGAATGACTATTTTGTTTGTATAAAGTGTGGATAGTAGAGAATTATAGATTTGTATGTTGTTTGTAATCATATCAAACACAACATAACTTCAATGGACTCATGATCTTAACTATTGAAATAACACAAAAATGATGAATATAAGTGAATTTTTCAGATACACACATTCAGTGAAGTATGATAATAAATGAATCTGTAAAACATAAGGAATGTTATCCATAGGATTGATGATCATTCATGATATATATTCATTTTAGTTTTTATCTCAAATAATTCCTTTTAACACAAAATCAACTTTTATACCAAGTAAATACATATTGATTATGAGCGTTGCCAAGAGCAAAACTGATAATCATAGATTGCCTAATTATTTTAATTGAATATTAATTAAAAATTAATTTCAATAGTTGAGATTATGAGTCAAATCACCATGGAAAACTCGGAAGCACTGGACGGCCGTTTCGTTCTATTATGAGACTCTTCCACAGTGAGCATCCACAATCTCGCTCATGGGACTCGAACCCAGTTGTGAGATAGTAACTCACTGATGACAGTGGTGGATGAGTCACTCAAATTCGTGGATTAATTGAAGTTAGACATTAACACCGCTGGATGCCGGCTCAGTGGTCTAGTGGATGGGCACTCGCATGAGAGACTGGCAGGTCCTGTGTAGATGAGCACTACTGAAGAGTCCTACAGTATGACGAAACGGTCATCCAATGCTTCCAGGTTTTCCATGGTCTTCTAGCTTCAATTGACTTATGATCTCAACTGTTGAAATTTAAATTATCATCATTCAGAATAAAAGCTAATAACAATGATCTGAACTTGTTCTGTTTATGTCATACTGCTCTGAATATTCATAACTATATATGAGAAATTTATATTTTGATTTTCTACTTGCTGACTGTTGTGCTTCTTCAAGCTAGTGAATATTAAGAATCTAAAGGTGATAACAAGTATCTCCATAAAACACTAAAATGCTCAGTTGTACCAGTAATGTTATACATTTATAAATATTAAACATGAAATCATAGCCTGTTCACTAAACTGAATATTTCAACATTCAAAGTATAGCTTTTCATGTTCATTTTTTATCGGGTTCAATACTGGCAATGGTTAAACACTGAATTAATATTCATCTTCACAAAATAGAAATTATTTACATCGAAAACACCGTTTCACAAATTATACAATCATCTGATTTTAGTTACTTATAAGTAGTGTAACTAAAATATCAAATTTAATCAAAACTTCCATCAAAATGGTATTCAATGTTTGGAAACTTGAATAGTTTTTCAAAAACAGTAGATTCAAGTTTACAGCGACGATTAGTTATGAGATCTTTGAATTAATAGAATCCCCTCCTGCTTACCAACCACCATTGACCTCATCGGGTATTTATTTGCTTCAATAAACTTATCAACCACTGGAGTAGATCTTATCACCTTATGCAGGAATATGGCCATTCCATTAAAAAAGAAAGAATTCACTAAAAATATGAGTTTTCCTTTGTGAGTAGTATTTGTGCCATGAATTATGCTAAACGATTGATTATAAAGCTTGTGAATTTATCGATCTTTCTTAATACAGAGCATTGAAAATAGATATAATTAAGAGTAATGATCAGAAAGTTCTATTATCATATGAATTACGTACCACTGTATTTATCGTTTTTTCTCTTTTTCTCTGCATACAGAGGATTATTCACAAAAAGACCGCCGATATTCATACTATGATCATTCTAGTACCAAACAGAGTAAGTTCTAACTACGTTGTTGACTATGTTAAAATGAGTCTTTAAACGAAGAATCGATTTTCAGTCAAGCCTCAGTTTTGGTTGCACAGCTCATTGATCACTAAATTAAGACCAATATCATGTTTTCCTAGTCTTTATTTACGCAAACTGAATCCCATAAACTGATTCGCAGTGTGATCATTGGACAAAGCGACTCTCTATATAGGGTACTATGCTGAAATATCAGGTAGTTGGTAGGAAATCCTGAGCATAAGTTTCGTGCTAGGCGTACCTGTAATTCTGAGGGAAATGGCTCTCCTTTGGAGATTCAGATTCCTGTCAGTCGACTTCACCATCATAAATGTTATGACTGAGTTATTCAGGTCTCAAATGATATCCTATGTTACTGAGATATTTACAAACAGATTGATCACTAAGTAATAAAGATCTGGTTGGCTTCAATGCGCGTATACATATATATATATATATAACTGATGTTAATACGAGTACTTAGTGAATTACTTTAGTCCTCTCATGTTATTCTAGAAAATGATAAAGTTGTTAGATTAGTTATACCATACTGTGTTATGCAGTGTTTTCCGCTTTTATGGAAAGTTGTTTACTCACACTTTGTTCGTTACTGCTGACCATCCTGACAAACTATAACTATTCAAATGATTTTCAAGAAATCTACCATTTCAATAGCTGAGATCATGAGTCGATTGAAGCTAGACTACCATAAAAAACCTGGAACCACTGAACAGCCGTTTCGTCCTATTGTGAAACTCCTCAGCAATGCGCATCCACGGTCCCTCCTCGCGAGATCCGAAACCAGGATCTTCTGTCTCGTGCGCGGACGAATCTCGCGAAGCAGAATCCTGGATGCGCACCGCTAAGAAGTTCCGCAATAGAATGAAACGGCCATCGAGTGCTTCAAGGTTTTTCATGGTGGTTTGACTTAAACTGACTCATGATCACAACCGTTGAAATTACTATAAAATCCACCATTGTCAATAATTTATTTTTCCTTGTCGACTGTATTCAATCCTATGAGTCAATAAATAGACATACGTATTCAAAACAACGTACAACATTCTTATTCGTTTTAAAAAGTATTTAATTTATCATGAATAAAATATAACTTATCAGTAACATATTTACTTATCTCTTGAGTTAATATGTCAATACTTTACATGTTTAGATGCGAAAATAGTGAAAGCAGGTTCATTCAATTGTACTGATTCTTTTAGCTATGGTAAGTAATTTATAAATTTCACGTTACTTTGAACTAATCTATTAATTGTTTATTTATCGTAAATTTAGAGGAATACCTTTGTATCTTTATACAATATCACAAATTTGTTTACTTCGGAATATGGACTATCCATATTTATCCCATAATATAAAATCAGTATAAATTTTAGATTATCCACACATTAATTATCTCTTGAGAATAACCCTGTATTCTACAAAACCATTTCCTTGTACTTGTTGAAAATTTTATCTTGTTAAAACAAGGTTTTTCTGACATGTTTTCAAATGAACAGCTGATATTCTTAACTAGGCAGAAAAAGATTACCTAAAACCTTTTGTATCGTCAAGCAAGTGTCATCATTTAAACAGTAATTATCATTAATTGAAGTGCTATATATATATATATATATATATATATATATATATATATATATATATATATATATACAGTTAGATGAGATGATTATTTTGAATAATAAGTATGAAACGCTTATTTATTTGTACTGTAATTCTAAAACACTCTTTATTATTGATATACTTATCACTTTATAACAAGCCGATAACACTATACTCATTGGAAGCAAAATTGTTTTTAAAAAAGGATAAAATGAGGCATAAAATGGTAGTTAATCTTATTCAGGTTTGTCTTTCAGTCATAACAGACTCATGATTTACAGTCACTTGAAATGTGAAAAATGCTTTTCAAACGCAGTAGGTTTACATGTGCCTTAAGAGACAAGTTTACAGAGAGAACAAATATAAGGGTCTTTTCTTAGTTTTCTGAACATGATCCTGGCAATCTATTACTGAGGACGACTATTCTTCACAAGTGCACCTTTTGGATAGTGGACGTGAAGTGAATGTTAGCAATGTATTCAAAATAATTAACGGACAAAGAACACCAATCTTACTCCGTTTTGCAGAGGCGATCACTCAAAACGTTTACGACCTGACCTATGTATACAAAAGAAAAGTGTGATTAGCCTTCACTTCCCATGGTGACTGGTGTTTATCTAACAAACTTTATTAACTTTAAAAAATTTCTCTTCAATCCTATTCCCATACATATCCTGATACATTTATTTATTTTATTCTTTATCATGTTGAGCGATTACCCAATCACTTTTTTATTCCATTGACTTTCATAACCTCTTTTATCTTCATTATAATTACTAGTAACTACAACATTTATTCAACTCTGCATTATGACTTACCAGCATATAAATTTACATTGTTTTTCGCTAAGTTTTTCTATACAATTTGTATCCCTACTCTTCTCGCTAAACCAGAAAACAGTCCACTAGCACACTAGATTGACAAGTTTTCATCTTGATGCCGACATGTGGACGATACGTTCGTCCTTTGTAGCGACCATACTGACCCGATAGTACAAACGGGCCATAGAGCTAACATTCAGCAATCATTCACAACAATATATCGTATTAACAAAAATCTGCCTAAAATCGTCAGATTGAGAATCCTTCAGACACCTTAAGCAATAACTATTCGAATCAAAATATCTTTTTCACTTCATATTGACCATATTTATTCTAATAATTAATCCTACAATTTTATTTATACGTATAAGCTCACTCAAGTTAACGTTTCACTCAAACATCATTGATTTATCAGTTTAGGGGTTGTGGAGATTGTTAAGTTTTTGATTGAAATCATGAGTCAATTGGATCTAGACAACCATAGAAAACCTGGAAGCACTGGACGGCCGTCTCGTCCTAGTATGGGACTCCTCAGCAGTGCGCATCCACGATCCCGCGTTCCGCGAGATTCGAACCCAGGACCTATCAGTCTCACGCCAAGCGCTTAACCAACCAGAACACTGAGCCGACATCCAACGGTGTTAATGTCTAACCCCAACCATCTTCTATTGTACTGAGGTAGACACCTGTTTGTACCCGACACGGATTAGCTCCACTGGTCACGGCTTCTCATCAGAACTCTGGAAATTTTCTCACGAAGCTAGTCACTAGTGAGCACATGGTAATTATCATTTTAGGGGTTGTGGAGATTGTTAAGTGCTTACAGGTTTTCCATGGTGATCTAGCTTCAATCGACTCATGATTTCAATTAAAAAATTAATTATTTAAATAATTAAAATAACTCATAGTGTCATTGAATAAGGGAAAGTGAATTCAGCAAAGTAAATTTTCTTTCGACAAAATCATTTACTTAATCTGTACGTTAAAGCTGTACATTAACGATTTTATTTTATATTACAAACAATCGTTGATTTACATATAATAATTTTAAATGATGTACTTTGCCATAAACCTGATCACTTTTTGAACTATTAATTCGGATATATATAATTTTAAAACCTGATAAGAATTTATTGAAAAGAATATTCTTCATTCATATATCTGTCTTTTAATTGTTATACTTACTTGCTCACTTACTTACTTACTTACTTACGCCTGTTACTCCTAATGGAGCAAAGGTCACCGACCAGCATTCTCCAAGCCACTCTCTTCTCGCCCTTCCTTTATAGTTCTATCCAATCTTCGTCAATTCTTTTCTCATGTCTGTCTACATTTCTCGATGTAATGTGTTCTTTGGTCTTCCTCTTCTCCTCCTTTGGCCTTGAGGATTTCATGTGAGGGTTTGGCTTGTGACGCAGTTCGGTGCTTCCCTCAATGTGTCCTATCCACTTCCAGCGCTTCTTCCTGATTTCCTCCTCCGCTGGGATCTGCTTTGTTCTCTCCCACAGCAGGTTGTTGCTGATAGTGTCTAACCGTAGAATCCGAAATATTTTTCGTAGACAACTATCAGTAAACACTTTTATCTTCTGGATGATGGATTTCGTAGTTATCCAGGTTTCCGCTCCATATAGTAGAACTGTGTTGACATTTGTATTGAAAATCCTGACCTTGGTGTTTGTTGACAGTTGTTTTGAGTTCCAGATGTTCTTCAATTGTAAATATGCTGCTCTTGCTTTACCGATCCGCGCCTTCACGTCTGCATCAGATCCACTGTGTTCATCAATGATGCTGCCCAAATATGTAAAGGTTTTTACATCTTCCAAAACTTCTCCGTCAATTGTGATTGGATTGGTGCATGCTGTGTTGTATCGGAGAATCTTGCTTTTCCCTTTGTGTATATTGAGACCTACTGCTACTGAGGCTGCTGCTACACTGGTTGTTTTCTCCTGCATCTGTTGTTGCGTTTGCGATAGTAGGGCCAGATCATCTACGAAGTCGAGATCGTCCAACTGCATTAATAGTTATACATTTAATTGTAATTCTAGGTTGTATACAACTGATAAGAAACTGTAAACTAAACTAATAAATTGATTTTGATCTGAAAACTTTGTTATTCTTGCTCAGTCTAAATTTATCAAGGGATCTAATTATATGAAATTATTCAATCTATTGTTATAAGTATAAATAGTTTACAATGATGTATACAAAATATTGTCAAATGAACACAGTTCCTATCATAATCTTAGTCATTATCATATATTCAACTTTGTTATCTTCTTACATCAAAACAATTTATTCATTGTGCCATTTCTTTGTGCTTATATCCTAATGTTTTTGCTTTCAATTCGTTTTATGATGATATACAACTTAGTTTTCAAAATTTACCATATGTTATCTTAATTCTGTCACTGTTCAATCATCTATCTTTTATGTTACATTGGCTACTTACTATTTATTAATGATTACAATATTATTCTATTATTTTTGAATTTTCTTGGTTAGTTTACATTTTCTTACTTTTATATAACAACTTTTAGTAACGTTTTTATTTCTTCATTAAATATTTCATTAATAATTGGCTAAAGTTAAAGAAATCAATGAATATTTCGCCATTAATAGTTGAATTCATGAATCGATTTAAGCTAGTCCATCAGTGGAGTTCAATCATGTCTTTTATGAAGCAGTTACTCACTGAAGACGATGGTGGACAATAATTAAAGTTAAACATTAACTCCGTTGGATGCCGACCTAGTGATCTGGATTCGAGTCTCGTGTGCGGAATCGTGGATGCGCACTTCTGAGTAGTCCCATATTAGAACGAAACAGTTATCCACTGCTTCCAAGGTTTCAATGTTGGTCTAGCTTTAATTAACTCATGAATTCAACGGCGAGACTATAATTTATGGACGACCTTTGAACTAATCATTAGTGACCTTTAGAAATAATAACCAGTCAGAAAACACTTAGTATAGGGTAAAAATATACTATACAAAACCAAAGAATTAAACTGGATACACTTTTTCTAAATGACTCAACAACTTTTCAAGGTTAAAAAAGAGGTCCAGGTACTCCGAAATCGTAATACATATGGTGGAGGAAATCGTATATGTTGCTTCATAATAGTGGGCCTCTGGAGTCATGATAAAGTGGCAAAACCTCTTCCAGCCTCGACCATATAGCTTCAAAATTGTTTGTTTGCACTCCGGTTGTTGGGTCCACAAAATAACGCTTGTGGATAACCATACGATGCACATAACCAAGTCTGTACTCTCTCCAATCATTCGTATATATTGTAATAGCCGGCTGCAGCCAGTGTTACTAGTGCTTTTATGATCCAATTCGCAACAATTGTCATATTTTACCTTAGTCTGAATTTAGATCAAGAGAAAAAATCCTATTCCAGTAAACTTCTTCCTCCAACATATATTACATCGAAAGACAACATCATCACTGCAATCTGCACAAGGTTCACAAGTCATTTGATTACCACAATCACAAACAAAGGAATTTCTCAGTTGTCCCATCTGTTGTAGCTGCTCAACTATCACACTTTCTCTAAAGTCCTCTATGAACCAATCATACGTAAGTATCAGGTATCAGGCACCGTAATCTTGAAATCCTTCAAACGCTTTCATCAATTCAACCATTAAATTACTTAAATTTCCAAAAACCATCATTCTGATACCTTATTAAAGTTTATATAGAGTTAATAATTAGAAATTTACATAGTTAGAAGAAGTTTAGATTAACCTTACCAAACAACAAAATATTTACTATTTTTTTATAAGAAAAAAACTGATAAAAACTCACAAATGTAGATAAAATTGGTTTCTATGCACTAGGCACTACTGAAATTTTCTTTCATATAAAAACATACACACAAAAATATATTCACGTATATTAATTATAATGATACATTAAACTGACATATGACATTCCTCTGTGATTTATTAAGGTGGAATTTTGCTTTATGTTGTTCTTTTTTAGAAAAAAATGTTAACAAAAATTAATCAATTTTTTTCTTTCTAGATTTTTTTCTTTATTTATTTGGCTTTTATTGATTGACAGTGTAGTTTTTTTTATCGTAGAAAAAAAAGAAGATTCCCAAATATAACTAAACAGTCTTGGAATGTATAAAATATTTCTAATCAAAGCATTTATCAGTATAAGAGTTGTGGAGATTATTAAGTTTTTGATCGAGATCATGAATCGATTGATGTTAGATTACCATTGAAAATTTGGAAACACTGGATGGCCGTTTCATTCTATTATGGGACTTCTCAGAAGTGTTTATCCAAAAATCGGCCGTCTAGTACTTCCAGGTTTTTAATGGTGATCTAACACCAATCGGTTTATGATCTTAATCAATAAATCATTTATGTCTATATTAATGAATATTTAAAAGATGATAATATAAAATTGTAGTTATATTAATTTACAAAATGTATTACCAATTCAAGTAGGATGAATGTAGTAAGAAACAAAGACTTAAATCAGTCATCAATAAAACGTATTGTGCAGCAAAGGTCATCATCAAAGAAAGAACAATGTGCATGCTTCATTCAAAACCTAAAAGACATGAAAACCGTTGTGTCACATCCCATTGTGTTTATCAATTTAAATGTGTATGTGGTCACACATACATAAGGAGGAGCAATCGTGATCTCAGTATTAAGGTGTGTGAACATGAAACAAAATGGCTGCAGAAACGAATACAATCAAGTGACCCAATGAGAGCAGAGGATCCATCATCCTCTATTTCTAAACGCATAATCGAAACAGGCCATAAGATTGATCTAAACTCGGCTTTTGTGGTGTTGTGTAAAAGTGTAAAAGGGTATATATGAATGTTTATTACAGCCTTAGCCATACGAAAATTCAAACCCCCTTTGTGTGTTCAAAGACAGTTTAAGGTTTGTAAAATATCCTCTAAATCAATATTATTGTCACAAACGATAAACTTGTCATCCATATATCTGACGTATAGGTGGAATTGATTGATCATTGAGCTTAGTTGGTCGTTTTCTAGTTTTGCCATGAAACATTTTGTTCATACCTTAAACCTATCCTGATAATATTGACTTATTATCCAGAGTGATTAGGTGTCCAATTGTGTTCACATTATTATTATTACTCTTATGATTATCCTTATCTCCTCTTACCCCGTTTCCAGTCTAGTTGACCTTTTATTTTTTTATATAAATGCTCTTAACAAGTACATGTGTGATCAGATTGTTCGAAATGTATTGCACTAATATGTATAATCTTCGTCTTCTTATCACATTATCGAAATTTATCAAATGGACTAATTGTAGTAAGAATAAGTTCTATTTCATATACACCTATACATTGACTAAATGAAATGAATATTTTCCTTGCATTTGTACTTTATATAGTTTAAGTTTACTATCTATTCTATTGGATAGTTTACGTAATAAACATTAAAGGATTGTGAAAAACATTTAGTTACTGTTTTTCTTTTTTTTAACGTGATGTATAACAAAATTACAAATTGTACTCAATGAATTGACAACTAATAATATTAGATTGAAAGTGGTAAGATTAATAAGGATAGGGAACAAGAAGTTAAATTTAATATTACTATGGGAATTTGAAATAATGAAGTGGATATGATCTGGATGAGAATAATGACTTGAACAAATTTTTCACGAAGATAGATATTCAACATCTGATTGAACTGCAATTCAGTTTATCTGTTTTACTGAATGTTTACGCGTAGAGATTTGTGACTATTTATATGTGTTAATAAAACTGTGAATTACACTGATTATACAAAGAAAATAATGTTTCTCAATTCTAAATAGAATTTGTTAGTTCTACCTCCGTACATACATAAACATCGTACAATCAGTAGTTACAAGTTTAGTCTCATAGATAAAACAACTCCATATTCAAAATCAAAATGTTGCCATATATTTTTCTTCTATCTTTTTCATAATAAAAAAAACATAATCGTTAACATTTGTTTGAAACTTTAAAGCTTAATGCTCAGGATACCTTTTGAATGATAAATTAAACTGTTGAAGTAATTACATCAGATTGTCGTTGATTTATACTGGATATATATTGATTATCAACCTGTGACTACATGTAACTTCATGTTTTTAGTCACTATGTAAAATATGTTCGCATTTACATTTGGTTCTCTATCTCATATACTATACAATACTTTTGTCAATAAGATATTTTTTTCTTTTTTTCAATAGAAAATGGTTCAAGTGACTGGAATTCAAGTAATTATCGTCACTTTCCACGATTCAAACCTTCTGTAAGTTCATAAAAGCATCCTATAATTTAGTCTATAAGTTTACTTAAACTTTAATGTTCAATCTTTCTCTTTTTCGACAAACTCTTAAAGATGTTAATGTTTCAATATGAAAATCACTGAAGTTTAAATGAATAATTCTATAGAAATGAAGTCCCAAATATATAGAGTACATTAAACGTTTAACTTGACTTTTATTGTAGTAAGACAAAGTTGATCAATGAAACTGATATTTTCAAAGTTTAATTACCATATCACTAAGTGATATAACTTTTATTATCAAATTTAAAATTATTCCCATTATTATTTAGAAATCTTGAACAATGTTCAATCATAACTAATGATCATTGAACCAAAATACAATAACTATTATTTTCAACTCAACAATTATATATTTGGTATCAGAAGGGAATTTGTAGAGATTGTAGTAATTTCAACAGTTGAGATCATGAGTCAATTGAAGCTAAACCACCATCGAAAACCTGGAAGCATTGAACGGCCGTTTCGTCCTATTGTGGGACTCCTCAGCAGTGCGCATCCACGATTCTACCCAATAATTCACTAAATGATATCATTCTTTGACAAAAATTTATCATTTTGATTAATGTAATCAAGATGAACATAATAAACAATACAATGATTCGTATAAAGATAATGATAATTATGAATGAATATTCTAACCAATATCATAATAACCTTGAGTTAATCACTAGTAAAATGATGCATATAATAGTATATCTTAGTAATAATCATATGGAGTATTTACACAGTAGAAACAAAAAAATACGGAATACGGAAACAGATTTCATAAATAAGAACTTTTGTCTAAATTTAAACGAATAGTTTCACAATATTTGGGCGCCGAGTTAATGTGAGTCATTAAAGAAGAAGAAGTTAGTTGTAAAATATCAGCGAAAGAATTTGAAGTAATTCCAACGTTTCGCCTGGCAATCTAGTCCAAGCTTTTTCAAGGAAAATATAATCAAACAACAAAATTATCGAATTTATAGATTTTCTTCTAATAGTTATTGAAATATTTTAGTAATGAAAAATCTATAAGATAATTCATTGATTTTTATTGATTTGAAACAAATGACTCCATTAATTATGAATGTTTTTAATTGATCAAAATATTTGATCATAAACCAATGAAAGATTATATTGTTAATAACAAAATGAAGTTTTTGTTTATTGATAGATACACATTTACTTGCCTATGAACGTGTATAGAATAAATAATACAGTTGATCATAAACAATATGCATAACTAATGAAGACTGATTATAGAAATGCATATATATATATATGTATCACATACTTTTCTTAGAGTATTAGTGTGTATATCTGAAACAATTAGCTTTGTTCCTGAGGATTGAAGTTATGTTATTTATGGTGACAATTAGAATTGTTATTAGTTGAACCTCGATTAACCATTCGTCAGACTAGATCAATTGTATTTAAATGGGGACAATGAGATTTGAAGAATATCAACGGATCACTGTTATTCCTTCTGAAATATATTTTTCTATACTTATCGTTCTCTATTAAAGTCATATTTACATATTCGTTTTTGATTAAAAAAAAGTAGAAAATATCACAGTAATTCAATGTTAATACAAAGATAACAATATCACATGTATTTAATGAAAGATTAAATAGGAACTCCATGTAGTTAGAAGACGTTTTACATGATAATGGTCAACTTGGTATAAAGCCAGCTTTAGTGTATGTCAGTATGCTTTCAGAAAACTAAAAGATTTTAGCAGACTCTTTATGACTAACAAATGAGAAGAGGACTATAGAAAGGAATTCAAGCAATATCATTAACGAAATTAACCTAAATGTTTAACACCAGAAAATCGGTTCATTGGTCTTCAAGAAAAGAGAAGAATGTAATTAAATGCAGCGAAAGCAAATAAAGCATAAAACGAAACACTGTTTCACTATTGCACTAAAATACGAGGAGAGCAATTTAAATGATCTTCAGATTCCATTCTATTATGTTCCAACAATAACAATATTCAAATTATATGAAATTTAAAATGATTATAACCTGAAGTAAGAAGGATATCGCAGATACGAAGGAAGAGTCAAATTAGATATTTAATGAATCATTTCCCTGTTAACCGAAAAGAAACATGTAGTTGAGTATTAAAAAATTATTTTGAGTAAAGGTTCGCATATCGATCAAAATAATACAGATGGACTAATTTGTAGTAGACCATATATATAATCATACAGTAGACTTTTGTTAATATTGAACTTAACTAGAATGGATGTCTGTGAAGAATATTTTGGCCTATTCATATCATAATTCAACTCTTTAAATTAAATAACAATTTTATCGATTTCGAACTTCTATCGCTCATTTGGAGTGCTCTATAGAAGCTCATGCATATATATATTCATAGTTTATTATAATAGTCGGTGGAATCATATCATGATTAACATCGCTTCATTTTTGTTTATTTTAAATCAAAATGTCTCAGGAACTTGGAAGAAAACGTAACTAAAATAACTACAATATTCTCCATTAAAAATTGATGATTTAGTTTTTATTACACGTTTTGTGCTAAAAACAAGAGTTCATAGCTAATAATTTACCTCTAATTTAATTAAAATGGATTTGTTATTAGAATAGAAGTGTGTGGATATTGTAATAATTTATAATAATTGAATTCATCCAGCATGCGGGATCATAGATGTGTACTGCTTAGGAACCTCATACTAAGAAGAAAAGGTCATCCAGTGTTTCCAGATTTTCAATGATGGTCTAGCTTAAATCGACTCATAAATTCAACTATTAAAATTTATTTATTATATATCGACAACGATATTTAAAGACAAAACTTCCCTCTTATTCTTCTTCCTCTTCTCATTTGGCTGTGATTCAATCCAAAATTGTATTATAATTAATTCAATAATAATTCACATGATTCTTTTATACACTATATAGTATTTCAATATCTTGTGATTAAAAACCAATGACATACTTTTATAATCCTAATAATCTGTAAAGTAATAATGACACACAGTATAGTAGATAATTATTCCATTTTCATTTATCGATATAAACATGAAACATGTTCTAAGTGAACAAAAATCACACTTATCCCTATGAACAGAATAAAAAGTTGTAAAATTATTTATATCTAATAGAAATATTCGACTGTAAGTTTTTCCTTTAATATTATTGTATTACACTTAATTATTAATGCATGATTATTATTATTGCGAGTAATAAATATCTAAATGGTTTTATATATAAGTAAAGATGGATAGTGGCTAGCAATGGAATCCAGGACTTGCTAGAAGTACCTGCATCTCAGAGTTCATATTCACTCTGGGACTAGAATCTAGTACCGTTCATTTCTAAACACTCCATTGCACACGTAAGTGGCTATCAGAACTCAGTAGCTAAGTGGATAACGCGATGGCATTTGAAGCGAACGGTACTAGGGTTCAAATCCCAAAGTGGACATAAACTCTGAAATGCAGGCACATCCAGATGACGAGTCCCAAATAGGGTGAGACACGTATCCTTGATTCCAATACTAGCCACTATCCATCTTTAGTTATAATGCTTGTGAATTAAGGCAATATTGAGGCAATACGCACAGGGTGCACATATATGCCAATATGAAACTGATAAATTGAAGTCCTAAACATCAGTGTGAAGATTCAAGTAAATAATATCAATTGAACCTACTATATATAGTTGACTATTTATTATATAATATAACATGGTTTTGAATTTTCAATATTCACTTGAAATTTACTTATATACATTAAATTATTTTATTGACCTTTAATAGGATGAAAAAATTGAAAATGATACACAATTTGGCAAACAATCTGAATCACCATCTATAAATAGAAATATTAGTCCAGTGGCAATTGCTTCATCTACACCAAAAATAAATCATAAAACACCGACAGTTATGAATATAACAAATTCATCTGTTATTACAGGGAATTCTTTTGAAGTTTCTGCTGATGTAAGTTATACATTACGCATATATATGTTATTTACTCTTGTAATTGCATTTTAAATAAACAAAAGGTATAAACTAGGTGTATTACATATAGATAAGTTAATAACTATACAAACACATAAAATTGAATTCTGAACTTTTGAGTCATTTAATAATAGAAAACCTTAGATCACTGTTCAATGACTTTTGTTTTTAATATCATTATATTTATTTGTTATACTGAAACATAAACAGGTTACCTCTTAGAAGTATTTGACTACAGATGTCTTAGAAATATTGCTTGCATCTGCTGGGATCACCGAGTAGGTAATAGTGAGGTTAGACTCAGGGTATTAGGGAACGATGGTAAATCAGTTAATGGGGTTGTGAGTCAACATCGACCGTGATGGTTGGGCCACGTGTTACGTATGTCTGAATACCGATTACCACGACGTGCTAACCGGTGTTGGAGACGGTTGGAAGAAAGTTAGGGGAGGCCAAACCAAAACGTGGCATCAGTGCTTGAAGTCAATAACTTCTAGTCTGAGCCATGTTGGTAGATGCAGTCTACTTGGTTGGGGTCGGCGTGACAATCGTAACGAATGGTTGGAGACTGTGGGTGACATGGCTGAGAATCGATCACAACCGTATCGGTCTATACACTCCCCGTCTCTCTTAAACCGTGAGATTAAATTCGCTTCATATATTCCTTTCTATCAATTAATTCTTTCTTCCGGTATTATATCCTTATGTGCAATATTTCTCTTATATATTACTATTATTGAAGTGACTACATTTATGAATTTGGTGTTCATCTTGTTGTGCTAGTGAGGTGTGGCAACTTGTATTGATGCATATATGTGCCTGATCCTACATTTTTGCTGACTGACATATATATATGCATATAAAGGAATCAGTATTTTATTATTAACTCAGAATTTTAAACTGAGTCTATCTTAAGTAAATTCTCAAATTTTTAATTGGCATGAATATCTAAATAAGAAAAAAATTGTGCTATAAATATCATATAATTTACACTAATTAGTCACTGAGTAGTGCACAATGTTAAACTATCTACTCCATTGTATTGATTGAATCTATTGATCAAGTTATAGTATTGTTAGTAGACTATTTGACCTAGAACTACAATGTCCATTTTCGCCAACAGATTACTGAAGCCTTGGTCTCTAAGTTCATAGTAGTTACCACTTGTTAGCGGCCTTCAGGAACCTGATACTCACTGTAAGATATCTACTGAGGAGTAAGCAAGGTTACAATGGTTTCTACTCAGTGACTGATAAGTGTAGATACGCCTTAGCTAGTACGAAACCTAGTCTCGGAGTGTTTTGCCTATCATCTCCCATTACCTTAGCTTAATAATAAACTTCGAAAATGCTAAGTCAACAGACTTTAAATCTGAGTTAGTTTAGTATTATAAGTTTCTATCAACCTTGTGTGTTCACTGATCACGATATAATATTACCAAACTATTTCACATCATATATTTCACATAGATCTATTTTGCACATGAAAATCCTCACATGAATCATAGGTTATTAAAAAATCATTATGCTTTCTTGTATATTTGACACAATAAATATGACCAAATAATGAACAAACTTTGTTGGTATTTATGCATCGCTATAAGATCACCTTGATATAGCTATTTCGTTTCACACTTTGAGAGTAGTTGAACCGCGGTTAGCAGTGAAATCCAAGATGAAACTTTCCCTCCCATTCGGAACTCTACAACCAGATGTACATACACCGTTGATGTTTACACAGAGAATCGAACCGGCTAAACTTCGCTTCAAACGCCGACGCAATATCAGGGTAATCTGCTCTCGAATTTACAGATACAAACAAAGACTAATCACAGTTCACTCTTGAATATAAGTAACGGGACAATCCAAACCCATACTAATAACAATGTGGAGGTCATGCCTTTTGAACGAGTGGGTGGCAATCTGGACTCAATCGCTTATTAGATAACGAGTCGATGATTTGGAGAGAAAGGCGCTAGACTCAAGTTTCGGTCTGAACATCAACATCTGAATATAGATAAGCTAGATAAAGAGTCCTTAATGGGGAAAACACCAGTCTTCAGCTTCACTGCTAACCACAATCCATATATTATAAAAATGTGACTTAAGTTGTTATAATACAAACAGCGAAATTCACTTGAACAATAATGTTTGACTTTATCATGTCTGATTCTAAATTAGTTAGATTCATTTGAAATTCGTTTTTATTCTTTGGTTTAATCTACACTACAACTTACTGGTGATTACAAATTAAGTAATCAATCCGTAAAGGAAAAGTAGACTATATTCGAATTCCGAAACTTAATTTAACCCGGCTATGTAATCGTAAAGTTTAAGGTCATTTAAAATTTTCGCTTAACATTCACTGAGAATGACTAGAAATTAGTAAATTCAATCACTTCTTTTGAAATAAACAGTTTCAAATCATTTCGAATGGATCCAAGTCGTTGAACAGAATATCAGGCTTGCCTTGTGTATGGAACTTAAGCAAAATAAAAACTAACATAAAATGTCCTGCTGAGTGAGTGTTATTTAATTCAGTGACCGTATTACATAGCTAGTTTGTAGTGGTAGATCTAATCTGAAAACTAGACAATAAATATTACTGGATGCTAGTAATCAATCGGTTGGTGTAGCACACACTGCGGATATACTGTTTGACTCTATCTTTAAAGGAAACCGATTTGTAGTGATAGACATTACATGAGTAAAATAGCTGCTAGTAAATCTGAGTATATTTTTAGCAAATTTGGCATATCCCTGGCTACTCATACGACACTCAATATTTATGCATGTTTATTATCAGTTTTTATTTACGAGAAAAAGTCAACTTCTTCATGTTTTCGATTATAATATTGTCAGTATCCATTGGTCCAACTAATAGTTTTCTGTCAAAGAATGTCTTTGTACACCAATGGCAAATGTGGGATACATTTAAGATATTCAGCTACAACCTAGCATAACAATATAATTAAGGAAGTTGTGTCTATCGCATTAAACAAGGAGAAACATTGTAGTCTAAGTGGAGCTTTTTTTAACAGAAACTTAAATTCATTATTTCCATTGTTAGTCACAACCAAACAACATCATAATACGTATTTCTTCCTACTAAAGAATCCCAGTTTGAGAAAAACTGAAAAATATCTTAGTAACTATGGTGTTAGCCAAATGATTTACAACGTTATCCTATATTTTTGGCAATTATTCTTCGATTTCATATCATAAACTCAACGAAACCATGGCGTTTCTTAAAATTGTAGCCAAAATATCCAGACTTTTATGCTTTCTAGTTTTACACCAGTTTTTCTTATCGTAGGTTTTTTCTACATTTATGAGTACTTAAATTAATTATTTGTATAAAAAGAATCATATCATACACGTTTACGTCTCTTTAGATTTATAACTGGTAAATATATTACTGTCCGGTTGAAGTCAATACATGGAATCAACCTTCATAGATTCCACTGCCAATTAACATAGTCTACAAAATAGAACTATCGTTAATTTTTCTGATATTAAGATAATTATGATTTATTTTTACTTTGATTTCAAAGAAAATTGTTATACTAAACTTATTGACCAACTGATTAATAAAACTTAACGGTTGAATTCATGAGTCGATTAAAGCTAGACCACCATGGAAAACCTGGAAGCACTGGACGGCCGTTTCGTCCTATTGTGGAACTCCTCGGTACTGTGTATCCACAATCCCGTCTAGCGAGTTTCGAACCCAGGACCCATCAGTCTCGCACGCGAGAGCTTAACCACTAGACCACTCAGCCGGCATCCAACGGTGTTAATGTCTAGCGTCAACCGATCCACGATAATGCTTGACCGTCCACCACCGTCTTCGGTGAGTTACTGCTTCACAAAAGACACGGTTGAAAATATCTATGAAGCGTAAAGCTAGAGAGAGTGATATTTATAGTAATTTATTGTAGAAAAGAACTATAGCATCTATGGATAAATGACACAATAATGGGTTGGTGTTTGACGAAATCTCTGCACGGACTTAGAAAGCTCGTTTGGCTTTTGCTAACTTACGTTACCTATGGCGAAGACGAGATATCCGTCTATCAACTAGGGAAAAAGTATACTGCGCGGCAGTTCGTTTTATTCCAATTTACGGCTGCGAAACGTAGCAAATAAGAGTAGAAGATATTCGTAAGTTGCTACTATTTGATCACAGATGTCCGATTACCACGACGCTTAATGCTGACTAATGCTGGAGACGGTTGGAAGAAAGTTAGGGGAGGCCAAACCAAAACGTGGCATCAGTGCTTGAAGTCAATAACTTCTAGTCTGAGCCATGTTGGTAGATGCAGTCTACTTGGTTGGGGTCGGCGTGACAATCGTAACGAATGGTTGGAGACTGTGGGTGACATGGCTGAGAATCGATCACAACCGTATCGGTCTATACACTCCCCGTCTCTCTTAAACCGTGAGATTAAATTCGCTTCATATATTCCTTTCTATCAATTAATTCTTTCTTCCGGTATTATATCCTTATGTGCAATATTTCTCTTATATATTACTATTATTGAAGTGACTACATTTATGAATTTGGTGTTCATCTTGTTGTGCTAGTGAGGTGTGGCAACTTGTATTGATGCATATATGTGCCTGATCCTACATTGTTGCTGACTGATCAATCAATTGGTTTTATCTAAATAGTTGATAACAGTAAATAAATAATTTCATATATTGACATTATTAAATACATTTCGTCAAATAACTTACTATAATATCAACCTATGTAAATTTGGATTGTTCTAGGTTCTTATTATATTTAGTGTAACTAACAATGAAATTGAAAACTAATATATTGTCTTTTGTAAACTACTGGTCTATTCAAAAACATGATAGTAGCTTTAAACATATTAGTTTTCTATGTCATTTTTAAGAAAGATCGATATTATTTGCTCTCATAACTTGTTGATATGGTTTAGAACATATTGGAAAAATATAAACTTATGGACAATTCCTACATTTACTTAATTCATCCTACTCATCTCATAAATGACTTCATATTGAATACTGTGCCAAATAAAGATTATATTACGAAGCTATAACTAATGGTTTCCAACTATGACATAGAAATTACACTTATATGTATTACAAAAATGTAATTGGAGGTGTTTGTTGCCATTTTTTCATTTCTACTTGTAAAAGTATCATTTAAAAAAGTTTCATTCCAATAGTTAAATTGTTTAGCAGTAACATTAGCAATATGCCAAGTATAATCAATTCTAATTCTAATTATCCAAATATGTAAGTATTATTTAAAGAACAATGAAAAGTCTAACATCTACAATTATTAGTATAGGGTTTGTGGAGATTATTAATTTCTTTGATTGAGATCATGAACCGATTAATGTTAGACCACCATCTTTGGAAACCTGGAAGCACTGAACGGCCGTTTCGTCCTATTGTGGGACTCCTCAGCAGTGCGTGTAGACACTATCACCATTGGATGCCGGCTCAGTGGTCCAGTTGGTTAAGCGTTCGCGCACGAGACCGAAGGCCCTGGGTTCAAATCCCGCGAGCGGAATCGTGGATGCGCACTGCTGAGAAGTCCCACAATGGGACGAAACGACCGTTCAGTGCTTCCAAGTTTCCAAAGGTGGTGATCTTACATCAATCGGTTCATGGTCTCAATCAAAAAATCCAAAATTATGTAGTTTAACTACAAACACTATTTGACTACAGTTTTACAAGTCGATTTAACAAAGATTATCCTTTCATACACATAGTCTCCTATATTATTTTTAAGAGAGTAAGAAAAAGTATTTAAACAGAATAACATAAATTCATTCAAATTCTAATCAGATGCTAATTACAAATAATAATAATAATTCAACATTAAAACTATGGGTGATACTATAAGTTATGTTTTAAGAAATAAATATGTACCGCAATAACGGATCAAACATCCAGATTAAAGTCAGTAATATTGAAAAAAAAAATGTTGCAAATGAATATCATATACAAAAGAAGATCTAAGAACAACAAAAGTAGTGACCAAAGATATTTGAATTCAAGATTGATTGAAATAACTAAACACACAGATTAATCGTAATTAAGAAGTACATGAATTGAAATCGACCAGTTTAAAAAAATGGAGCTATAAATAAAACCAACTTAGAACAACATATTTAGGTGAATAATATTGTTTTTAATTAAATCCTTATTAAGCTTTACTCTAATATACAAGAATATCAGTATACAAATATGGAAATATTGAACAAATCATGACAGTTGATACGTCAGTGATAACAGTGGAATAGATTACATAAATAAAGAAATTTGAGTAAAAAGTACAAATTAACAATGTTATAATAAGTGTACTGGTTGCGTTAAGGAGGATAAAGGTTTGAATCAATATTTCATAATAAAAAGTATGTCATCGACTTAAAAAAAATAGACCCTGAAATAACATTCATTAAGAATTATAAAATTGTATAATAAGAGGTATTCAGATAATTGAACAAGGGGGCATATAATTAAAAAGAGACGAAAAAATGATACCATAAATAATAGAAAGGGTCAAATAATGATACAGTTAAGTAAGTTACCAAAGTTTTGAAATGTATTATAGAAATATATGCAAACTTAATATTCTCATTTAGATTTATCTAATCCATATGGTGATTTTATTTAGGGAATGAATAATAGTAGTATTACTCAGAATAATCCATTTTCACCAAGGAATGCAACTCCTACTGCAGAAACTAGTGCAATTGATGATTCACCCAGTATGATGAGAAGTAGTGTAATATCTCCTACTAAGTTTAGAACTTTTCAGACGTCAGCAAACGAAGATAAGGTTAATAATCAATATAAAGTAAGTCTAGATTATTGTTCAAATCATTTTGTGTAATATTTTTTTTACAGAGCTGAATTCAAATTAATTTTACTGTTATTCTCATTTATCCATCTAATATATTCATGCATAAATGTAGATTTCAAATACCAATTGAGGTTGCGTAACAATTAGGAGGTTAGAAAAGAATAGGAGGATGGAAATAATTTACGGATCAGAATTATGGAAGATAATTGACCGTTTGACAGTTGTAAAGAACACTGAAAAATGTAAAGCTCATAATAATAAACTTGAGAAGGGATGATATTAATAACTGTTTACGGTTAACCAAACAGCTTTAAGTACTATTATACAGCTTAAGTAAATCACTTCGTTTCAAAAGAAGTTTTTTCCCTGGATTCTATTTATTTCTACTCAATGACACAATGGATTTTTATTATCCGAAGATTTAAAATGTGTCTCTTGGTTCTTCTGTCAAGCTTGTTATAGCAAATGTCAGAGTCGATTTTCTGCAAAGCTGGGTAGACATATATGATTATCCGAGACCAGTTTTCAAAACATTATGTCGAACCCAGATCCATCCAAATAATCGTTATTTGAAATGTCTCACCTTGAATTATATTGATGAAATCAAGTCAGGAATATCAGAAATAGAACGAAATATTTCATTACGAACACATATTTCATATAATTTGTCGGAAGACGAACGCGTTAGATTTAAGGATTACATTGATAAAGTTGCTATAAATCCTACAGAAGATTTGGAAAGTTCGAAACTGACTGAGATCCGTGCTCTTTTGAGAGAACACTAGAAACGTATGTATTTAATTACTGTTTTATATTATCATCGACTATTTCACTACAAACATTGCCAATTGGTCCTAAATTTTGCAATACATCAAAGAACACTGATAAAGTCGGTGCTAAAATTGATTTTGAATGCCTCATTCTTCAGACAAGTGACCTTACACACGTATATAGTTGAGATTATGAGTATTTGAAAAACAAATCTAGTTAACTGTTGTAATTAATATGTAAACACAATACCTGCAACTAGACAACCTATCACAAAAGAAAATAAATCTCGGCTATTTGATCTTCTGAGAAATCAGAATTTAATGCTGTGTCTCCAAGGTAAGGATGCGGGAATTGTACTTTTGGGTCGACGCGACTATGATGTCAAATTATACCCTACATTATCGGATACTGTCAAATTCTCTAAATAAGCCAAAAGCTGCAACTGACAAAATGGAGTGGATGTTAAGTAAAATCCTAAGGAAGATGAAGGATGTGTCTATTATCAACTGCAACTTCTATAAACAACTAAGAGCATCGTATTTCATCATACTGAAATTATATGGAGTCCCAAAAGTTCATAGGAAGTATGTTCCTCTAAGTCCTATACTTGATATGAACAACTCTCCGTATCACCTGATTGCTAAATGGTTACAACCCGTTAAAAATCACATCAATAGATACAGCTCCCTTGATTCCTTTGACTTTTTCGACTCGATTGGAAATATCAATATAAATGGTAGGAAAATGATCTCATTGGATGTCACTTCTCACTTTACAAATGTTCTTCTCACAGAAACTATGTGCTTTTATGTGAGTTGATTAGGAATAAAAACCATGATGTTTGTATTCCAAAACATCATCAAAAAGAGCTAATTCCACGACGTACTCTCAACGTGCAATTCAGATTTCATGATGGTTTCTATAGATCAACTGATAGGGTTGCAATGGTACGGTACTTCGATCTATAATTAAGATATCTCATTGATTTACGGGATATATATATGATACTTTCATTATTTGTGAAGAATATATGGAGCTCAATGGCATTTTTCATATATTTAATAGCTGTCATCACTCAGTCCAATCCACATTACAAGAGGCCAAGGAGGAATTTAATTTCCCTAATGTCCTGTTGGAAGGAAGGTCAGATGGTTCCTTACAGAGTTCTACATACAAAAAGCGACCTGAAATGCCCAGTATACGAGTTTTCATAGTTGGGTCCCGTTGAGTAGAAAGAGGAACTCTTTTCACTTTTTATCCTCGAAAACCAAATATGTTCTATTGACACAATAGATGACAAAGTACTTCAACTTCGACAAATAAACGATAGAAATACTTATCCACTTAGATTCGTCGGAAGAAACTTAACACAAACACAACATCCTGATAAAACATCAAGAGTTGGACAGAAAACTGTTTAGGAATAGGGTTTTGAATACGTCTGCTAAAATCTTGAGTTAACTGATTTCAAAATCACTGAATTAAACGTTCTACTCAGCTAAACTCTGAGCTGTTTTCTCAAGCCGGCCTACCATTCATAGATGTGTTGAGGATAGACTTTCTCCTTGGGTCGCATCGATGTGTATCTATAAATTTACTTGATCATGTGGGACAGATTTCATTGGCCGTACAAGCGATCACTTTCCAAACACATCTCAGAAGATTACCCGGAGTGTCTGTTAAAAGGAGAATGCATAACAGTCACCAGTTCAATATAGAAGTACTTAATCGACTCTGGATAGGTCGTTCTAAAGGAATATTCCTTCATAATAATCTACATAACCAAGTGAACTGAATAGGGGGGCCGAATCAAAACTTATGTAATGCTGAGGCGCTGGCCATCCACCTATTTAAGTTTGAACTGTGCGTGCTAAAACATTGCGTTCAACCCCTCCTCCTTCCTTGGCCCTAATTCTCCCTTGTATTATGTTTTGGTCTTGTATTGCTTGAATTATTTTTCAAAAATTTTAAACCACAATCAGTTATTGTCACCGTTTTTCGTGATTGTTATTCAATTGTTACTATGACTTTTACGTTTTCCATTGTTCTTCACAACTGTCAAGTGGACAATTATCTTTCATAATTCTGATCTGTAAATTATTTTCATTCTCCTATTCTTCTCTAACCTCCTGATTGTTACGAAACCCAATTGGATATTTGAAATGTCGAAACGCTTTACAATACAATCTCTATATTTCTATAGTCATATTTAATTATTCATATATATATATATATATATATATATATATATATATATTTCTTAGCAAGGTTTTTTTATGTGGTGGTGTTGCTCACCCCAGGCTCGATTCGGGCTTTGGAATGGCAATGACCCCGGAAGGGCTTCAGGTGGAGTCATATATTTTTTCATTTATTTATATCCGTCACAATAATGACGTTTCTGAAAAGAAATCTCATTTTCTGAATTTCATGGTTATAAATCGTAGTTTTTACTCAGCATATGCAGTCCATCATCATCAATCTTTCAATAAATAAATCTAGAATAAGTTCCATGAATAAACTGAATCATAGATCATAGGTCTTCAAACAACATAATAACTAGTAACGGAGTCCGATTAAATATGCTACACACACACATAAAAAAATAGACAGCTTTACGGATAGTGTTTACGAGTAGATTATAAGTTCAAGGTATTTTGTGAAATGAAAAATAACCTTAAGACTTAAATGGACAGAAGAATAGTAAAATTATTTGCATGAAAATAAAGACCATTTTTAAGTTAGTGGAGAAGATTTGTGGCTCAGTTGGGTGATTTTGATGGAGTTTTTTTCTCTAAACCATCTAGCTCAGAGAACAAAACTCGATCAAAACCATTTTTAAGTGTTGAATTAATTTTCTAATAATTAATGTTGAATACTGTCAACTCAAAGATATGAAATCTACCAAAAATTTAACTCTCAATATCGTACATGACTACAGTAGCACTAAGTAGTTACTCGTACTGTGACTTATCAACGTTTAGACGATTATATTCTTTGTGTTACATCTAGAGCTTAGATTCTTAATATACCGCGTATGATTTGAGCACTCAAACGCTAGAACCCTCCCAACTCACAAAAGAGAAGACAGAACAAGATTGGAGAAAGCGTTTGTTGGGCAAGAATCAAAATGTACGGAAAAATCATGGGTATTTATAGATATTAGCGTTTGTTAAATCAACATTATAATCCATCCAATCTGCAAAGAGGCATGTTATGCTACTGACCAATAAGAGCACGCCACGTTGAAAGCTCCATTGCGTTCTGATGATGAAACTCTTTGACTGTTCTAGGGCTTCTGAAGGCTCCGACATAGTTCTCGGAAACCGTTCCAACACTTTTTTTACCTCAAAACAATAATATAGATTCTAACTTGATTCACCATTTTGTATCAAGTTGCTTAGTTGCATATTATAACAACAAACTTAATAACTAAAAATTAAATGGATAGATTAGTTAATACAAGAAATTTAATGAAACCTTAGAGAATTATCTATATGAATCTACATTACCTTTTGAAGACATCATATAAATAGATGACTAAAATCATCATACGATTAAAGCAAATGAAGCACAAGAAATTTAGACGTACAAAACCATAGTAAAGTTGTAAATTCATAAGTGATGAGCTGAAACCAGACTGAATGGAATATGTTTTTTAAAGTCCTTCAGCATTAAGGCATGTGAAACAAAACATACGTTTTATACCAGCAAGATCATTTAATATCATTATTATTAATACTAATATTTTAATAACATATGGTTTATTATGAATTAGTTGGTAATGTGAGAAAATGAGAAATAATCCTATTTGATATGGTATACTGTTTTGAAAACAGTATTTTATATTGTCATATAAGGTTCAGGTAATTTGATTTTAAATTGTTGCAAGCTATTTGTGAGATTCCCTGAATCGACAGTTTACCCATTCCAATAAGACTAATCTAGAATGTTTTTTTAAACTGTTAATTTCCTAATAAGATGAACCTGTGTTCCTTTATGACGTTACAGTGATACCACCTAACTAGCATCACGCTATAGGAAGATGGTCAGTAATAAAACAAGTTGCGCTAAATAGGAAGCTACAAAAGCTCCTGACCCCCCAAATAAGCTTTTGTATTCATATTAAAGGAATTTTAAAATGAACCAATGTCCATCCTCCTCACTGACTTCCCTAGCTAGTAAATGAAGGCACTTTGTTTTATCTAGTAAATACTTTGCATTCATCTACAGGACTTTTTAATGAAGAACAGAAACAAAGTAACTCTCAAATGAACATTTTGATTTTTGTTGACAATAATCATCAAAACAAAGTCTGATTTAAGGAGTTACTTTTAAGCAAGCTAATCCATTTCGCTAAGAATCTGTGGATCACCAACATAGATGATTGGGGGCCTACTTGAGTTGGATGAGAATGGCGCGACCAACCAGCTAACGTCCAAGTTATACTACATGGTTAGTACCTAACATGGATGAACCTTTCGTCGTATCCAACAAAAATCACATTATTGCAGAAATACATTAGTAAGAGTAAGTACAAGGAACAGTCTGCGATCACAACCGCATGAGCCATTCCATGGCATACAATTGATTGGTGAGCAATGGTTGTTCATGACCTTGACGAGGATCAGTAAACTGTCAGATAGTTTCGAAAGGGCCTCTAGACCTCTAGACCACTAATCTGGCATTCGACGGTGACAACGTTTATCGAGAGTTTATTTGCAGCTAAATCTGAAAGCTTTCTTCTTCTTTTAAAACTAGGACCCTGATAGTGCGATAAATTCATTTAAGTTTTAATTTAGTACCCTGTTCAATACTTAAAATCATCTTTTTTGTATGTTTCAGATGAAACAAGATAAATATTTAAAGTCTTCTAATATTGTTATTGTTCATGCAGAAGATGTGACTAATAATTACAAAGAGATTTATCCACGATTTACTGAAAGTTTAATGCATGTAAGTAAATTGCTATTTTGTTTGTTTAAATTGTTACTTGCCTGAATTAATTAAAAATACTTATATCCAACTATATATCATATCAGTATGCGGTTATGAAGATTGTGGTAATTTATTGAAATCATGGATCTATTCAAGTTAAACAATCAATAAAAACATGGGAGCACATATATTAGGGTTCTATTCACTAAAATATAACTAACAAATATCATTATATTGGATGTAAATCGTCAATTGTAAATCTTTCTTATTAGTACTTATCAGAGACTTCAGTTGGTTAGTTAAAGGTCCAATATATTTCTTTGTAGTATTTAGGTAATTCAAAAATTTTAAATAAATCCTGTTATGTTTCAGCTTAAAAATTGACTGACTAAATCTGTAAGTAGTCAAAAGACTTAAATGAAGTCGAAAAAAATGAGATTATTCAAATTCCATGTAATCAAATTGATGATACCGTTCTTATCATGTAAAATGAGCGTCCTGGGTTTCAAATTTGGATAGATTTGTCAATATATACTGTTGCATAGTCCGAATTCAAAATGTAGCAGTCATCCACTAGGTTTCCATTATTTTTTATATTTGTATGGTTACTTCAAATACGATTCCTTGCTTTTATTAAAATAACACATTGAGAATAATAAAAACTCAGTGGTCAGTCATCAGCTAAACTCAGCTAGAATATTAGAACAACGCATTTAAATCAACAATATTACGTATTTCTAATTATGATTTATTTTAATCAAGCTATTTATCCTTATCAACAAGTGTATTAAGAACTGTATGACCTATATCGATCATGGATGAGTACTGCTGAGGAGTCCCGTAGTAAACGAAACGGTCGTCCACTGCTTCCAGGTATTCAATAGTAGTCAGACATTCATAGGTTCGGGTTATCAATAAAAACCCAATAATTTCCACAATCCTATACTGTTAAGTATTATTTTCTGTTAGATAGTCATCAGACTTTAATGCACATGAATATGGATATATGAAAATATTAAACTCATCAAGGTAGTTTATGAGTTAATGATCATAATGAATTAGATTGTATAACTACACATAGTAGGTAAAAAATACAAATTGTTAGTAAGAAAACATGTGTACTACTAATAGTAATAAAAACAAGAAAATAACACAACATGTGAGGTAGGACAAACTTTGATCAACAGATCTTAAAATAATAATCACTAAAAGTTACTTTAATTACGTAACAAATTATATAAATAATCAGATAATGAAGATTCTAAGAGGAAGAAGGTGAAGAAGTACAGGCAAATACAGAATTTTTTCATCTGTGAGTACTGTAAATATTTTGTTCCTACAGCAAGAATACCTTGAGTCATATTCCGATTTTCTAGAACTATAACCATCAAGTAATTCCAGACCATTATTTAGAGGATAACGGAAACTGCTGTTCACGTTTAGTTATCCTGATAACATGGCATCTTACGACTTTATCACTCTTAAAGAGCGTAAACATTTTCAATTTACTCTTTTTATCCTTTTTTACTCGTATTTCAATTACTATTATCATTAAAACTGTCGGTATAATGACTTATTACGCCGTCATAAGGTATACAACGTTCTTACTTAAATTCCTCGATTTACACTAAAAACTACACTTTCAATTCTGCATGTTTTCCATTTGTGTTTGTTTTATGCTTAAAGTTACCTTTTTGATATTTGGTTAAAATCTATTTAATTAACCCAGAAACTAGTAGAGTGAAAGGAATATTATTAATTATTATACAAACTGTACGAAAATTTAAGAGTATTTATTTCATGAAAAGTTTTTAAAAAAAAATAAAGGAAATAATATGGAAGTCAAGTTTCAGAATAATAATGATGATAATGAACTCGGACATCATACTCAAAGATGTGATTTCGTTGGACAGTGATCAGTACAATAACCAGTCACGCCTACGCAATGTAAAAAAAAAACTGTGAAGGAATTCATACCTTCAACTGTAATTGTTTAAGTACAAGGTCAAAATATTTTCTTTTTGTTGGTTAGACTTATGTGTTTATGAAATATGACAATATAGTTCAGAAATAATTTGTCTTTGAACTATGTTATAAATGGTTAATCCATTACATAGTAACCAATCTTTATTGATCTTAGAAATTTTCTTCTAAACTATAAATTATTCTATTTTCACTCAGTAATTTTAATTCAGTATAAACATAAACTTCTATTAAGTAGAAATGTCTAATGATTTATATGATTTCGCTATAACTGTGAGTATTCTGTACCAATAATTTGTTTCATTTTTACAATCTGTAACTTTGCTAACTTGAATAAACATAGAGATTTCATGAGTTAGACATTTTAAATTTTGTAATTAATTTTAAAATATTTTTTTTCAATGGTTAAGATCATGAGTCAGTTGAAGCTAGACCACCATGGAAAACCTAAAAGCACTGGACGGCCGTTTCGTCCTCAACAGTGCGCATCCACGATCCCGCACCCTGAGAGATTCGAACCCAGGACGAAACGGCTGTCCAGTGCTTCCAGGTTTTCCATGGTGGTCTAACTTCAACTAACTCATGATCTCAACTATTGAAATTACTACAATCTCCAGAAAACCCATCTGACATTTTTTTGTTTAAAAAGAAAACTGTTTATTAAATAATCAAGGTACATTGTTACAATTTTCCGAAAACTGTTTATTTTAGTCATATAACAATCACAGCATGGCAAATTCACCAAAAGTGAGTAATAGACAGCATATACAGTTAGTTTATGCTAAACCATCGAAATTGAGAAGAGATGTTATGGCACATAATGATCATGAAGAAATATCACCAGGTAAGTGAAATTTTTAAAAATATTATATCATCCTATTCATCAAGTTATTAACCGATGACTATTGTCTTCTAAATTTCATATGAAGTTTATTAAAACTTTAAATTCTACTTTAATTTCTTTCGGTGTGGAAAAAATTCTGTATTAATTCTAAGGTACATTAGATACATTTTGTCCTTTTAAGCACATAGCTAATAATAAAATGAGTTAAATAACAATCCTAAATGGTGATAAATGTGCCTTATCCAATCATATATTAGATGTACAGTTTAAGCAGAGATGAGTGGTGACTAACAGTGTAGTCCATAATGCTCGTTTTGTATTATTTGGGACTCATAATCTGGGTGTACCTGCATCCAAGAGTTAAATCATGAAGTGGACACTAATATTTATGACAAGTTGTACACATATACCAAAATAGATTGATCAATTTCAATCTTAAACATCAATGGGAAGATCCAATCAACCAATATACATGAATCAATATTAGATATACGGCATTGGAAGTCTAAAAAATTCTTATTTTCATCTTGATTGAGATAGTGAGTATTAGGTATTAAGAAATTATTTTAAAAAAACTAGAGTATTACAATTATTTATTAGTTTTCTATTAATTAGATTGTTCACAGTGTATATCGGACTTCCTTAATATACACCATTTATATTGTCTAAGAATTTAAAAATGTATTAAAAAACTCATACCATCCTTATATTCAATTGTTTTATTTAATGAAACACAAGGTCATCTTTGTCAATTTTTTCAAAAAAATTAGATGATTAAGTTTTCAAATATCAATATCATTTAGTTTATGATAAAAGATGTTTATGTGAACTCAGTAGATCAATTGATAAGGTATCAGATTGTGGTGGTCGGTATTCCATAGGATCCTTAAACTTCGTATACAGTTTGTCTTGATAACCGTCACTAGATAACGCCCCAACGGTATATTAATGAGAAGGCGAATATGAAGTGTTGATTATGTTTATTATGAGACCACACACAGATATCCAAAATTACAGGTGCGTCAAACAAGCATGAAAGAGTTGTGCCGAAAGGCAAGCAGGCAAGCGATCGAGCGAGTGAGTCAGCTAATATGAGTACGAGTAAGCGAGAGAGAGCAACGAACATGAATAACATGAACATACATATACATAGTGAAATGAATGAATCATCGAATCAATTAAGCACTTAGTAGTATGGCTAGCAGCGTAAATAAATGCGTAGGCAGTAAGCAATGCTCAAGCATACATGTTCATACATTCGCAACAATAATCAAGATACAGTGATATAGATAAATTGTTGTTGTACGGATGACTCAGTTCGTTAATAAGTTAACAAAATGACTTGACCGAATTAAATGTGAAGCAACTCAATACGCGTGAGTTGCTATAAGATGTTTGAAGTGAAAGTTACTTGGTCTAAATCTTAGTAATAACTTCAAATTTGGGTTGAAAGTATACCAGGCTAATGAGTTGAAAGTTTGTATTTTTCTTTTTTTTTAAATCAAAAACTATGTAATAAATGTTAAGTAGTTTTATTCTAAACTTTTAAGTTATATGATTTGACTTGTTCATCAAAAATATTTTAGTGGCCTGGAATCTGACTCCAATTAGGTCAATATAGAATGTTCATTATTGAATGATTACTGTCGAAATATATATGTTGCGTATCCTCGTATATTTCATCGACTTAAATCGCATTAGTGAATAACGAAATTAAATAAGTCAAATACGAGAATGAATTTCAAATATGTATATTTCATACAATCGTTGATCCAGACAAAATATCGGAGAAGCGAATAGAAAGCAGCTAAGCGAAATGACGCGCAGTGGAGAAGGCAGGTAAGCCAACTCCTACAGATTGTCCCATTATGATTCAAATAATTATCATAGTCTCATTAACACATTAATGTTATATTATCACCTAACGTGGAATTATTATTTTTGTTCGTGCTGACATTAAATTATGACCTAATTGGAGTCAGATCCCGAGGGGCCACTAAAATATCTTCCAATAGTCCAACTATACATAATTTTTTAATAATTTAAGATCGTTTAAAGTTTATACGTTACTGAATGTGTCGAAATTAGACAGGTTTTAATCGATTTATCATTTTTACAACTAATAATAAACTATTTATATATTTTTTCATCATATGTTGTTCTTTTATCGATAGTAAAAATGAGCATTGCACCTGTAACTTTATCAGCGCCTACAGAACCATACATGTTTGATGACTATTTTATAATTAGAAAACCTGATCTAAGTGATATACCTGAACAAAAGCTTGCAACTTTATCTAATCAATTTGGTGAACTTAATGATTCTGTGGAACGTGTTATTATTCGTATATTCGATTCAGCTGTAGTTCCAGGTGGTGCACTACGTGGTGTTGTTTATATATGTCTTAAAGAACCAATTAAATTGAATACTTTAACTATTACCACAGAAATGATTACGAAAACAATATCTTCAGATGAGAAACAAGATATGGAGGTAAAATCTGCTATTGTTATTACGACATTTACCATAATGTATTGACGAACGTTTTTAATTTATTTTACCACTGAAATTAGGCATAATAGACGGAATATCTTTCGTTCTGTAACCAGTGTAACATATTGACTTAACAACTGTCAAGTAATTGAGTGTATATAAATAAGGATAAATATAAGAGATGAGAATGAAATAGAAGTATTACCCAATTATCTTATATATCATCTAAACCCAACCTACTTAACAATTCTGATTACACTAATCAGGATAAAAATAATACGACTTAAAAACACAGAAATCACTTTGTACATAGGTTTTAATATAAATTTACGATTGTCTGTAAAATGAAATGTTTATGCAAAAATCGTTAGCTTGGAATGTTAAATAAACAAATTTATTTGCTCAGTAAAGTTATAAGATGAATAATCTGAATGAATATAGATTATATAGGGTGAGAGAAATGGTCATATGATTAAAAATCCTAACATACTTGGTCAAAGACCACATAGTGTGTAAAGTGATTCGAACTATTACTTACTTACTTACTCACGCCTGTTGCCTCTCGTGGAGGAACATAGACCCCCCACCAGCGTTCTCCATCCAACTCTCCACTGGACAATCTTTCCCAGTTCTTTCCAGTTGCTATTCATCCTTGTAACGTTTGCTTCCGATTCCCGACAAAGTATATCCTTTGATCTTCCATTCTTCAGTTTCCCTCCAAGATTCCACGTTAGCGCTTGCCTCGTGATGTAGTTTGATGATTTCCTCAATGTATGTCCCGCCCACCTTCATCGTCTTTCCCTAATTTCATCTTCAGATGGAAGCTGGTTTATCCTCTCCCACAGTAGGTTTTTGCTAATGGTTTTCGGTCAACGGACATTGAGTATCTTGAGCAAAAAATTGTTCGTAATTACCTTTCTGTGTTACGTTTCATGATCTTGCTTTTTCCCTCGTGTATGTTGAGGCCTACCGACGCAGAGGTTGCTGCTGCTACACTGGCTGTCTTGACCTTCATTTGTTGGTGTGTATGTGGTAGAATAGCTAGATGATTTGCGAAGTTCGGATCATCTGGCTGCATGTAAGCTGTCCTAGGTTTTCCATGTTCCCCTTGTTATGTCGTGATCTTCATAATCCAGTCAACCACCAGAAGAAAGATAAAGGGGGAGAGTATGTGGCCTTGCATGACTCCGGTCCTCATTTGGAATGCAACTACCAGCTGTCCACTAAGCACGACCTTGCACTGGTGTCCATCTTATGGATTCCATACGATGCTGACAAACTTCTCAGGTACACCATATTGTTGAAGAAGGATTCATAGGTTCATTCTATCCATGCCTTCTCACAATCAAGGAGGTTGATGTATAGAGTGATAAGTCCCATCAACTAACTGTTCAACGATGATCCGTAGTATCGCGAATCGGCCTCAAAGTTGGGTGTCTAGTAAATCTTCCATCTGGTTCAACAACGCTCCATTGAAAACGTTTCCTGGTACCGATAGGAGTGTGATGTCCCTGTAGTACTCAGACTTACTGAGATCTCCTTTCAATGGTATCTTGAGGAGATATCAGCCTGTCGGCACTCATTCCTCCTCCCAAATCTTCCTGAATAGGATGTGAGGCATCTTTGCTTTTACCTGTTTGTCTGACTTCAGTGCTTCAGCTGGCATGTTGTCTGGTCCTGCTGTTTTCCCGTTCTTGATTTGCGTGATAACCATCCTGATTTCTTCGACCTTTTGTGAGGTGACATCGATAGGAAGGTCTGTGTGTACTGCTTCGATGTCCGTTGTGTTTATGCTATGCCTCAAAGGGACTGCCGATTATATGACAGTGACTTATCGATCGGATCAAGGATTCAGAGACTCAATAGTCTATTCTGGTCCGTTGTCCCCAACTCTGCAAACTCGATCAAAAAATCTGGGTAAGGTGTAGAAAGTGTATTCTACAGACAAACAGCAGATAACAAGTCAATTCAAGCACACAAATCAAGCGTATTTATACAAATATTTACAATCGATATTGTCATGGAAGATTTTTGAACATTAATCAACAATTGACTGCTATTTGAACATTTAATCGATAGTTCATCAGTTTGACCTATTTGTACATTTAATCGATAGTTCATCAGTTGACCTATTTGTACATTTAATCGATAGTTCATCAATTGACCTATCTGCACATTTAATCGATAAGTAAATTACAAAAATTTGAGTTTTGGGGATCTATCGTCCCCAACAGTTTAGTGGGTCCAGTAAACTCAAGAATATTCAGTCTCCTATCCACCTGTTCTCCTGTTCTAAAACCTCAGTGATCGGTTTACCTTCTTTGTTCTTAACAAGAAGCTCTGGCTTACCATATTTCCCTGATAGCCTCTTCGTTACATCGTATGGTTGTCCAATATTTCCTTCTGCTTCAGCTATTTCCGCTGTCGTTGCTAGGTCTTCCATGTATTTCTGCTTGTGAACTCTAATGCTCTGCTTCACTTTCCTGTTTGCTTCTGTGTATTCAGCTTTTGCCTTGACTTTCTTTGCTTTTGTCCGGCTATTATTAATTGCTGTCTTCTTGTTCTTCCCTTCTCGAATCCAAAACAGGGTTTCCATAGAGACTCGTCCTTTATGCTGATGCCTTTTGCGACCTAGAACCTCCTGTCTTGTCGAAGTTGGTGCTTCTCTGATCCCCTTCTGGTTATTCTTCATAGTAGTTTTTCCTTCTTTCAGTAGGTCCTGTAAGGCTTGGAACCTGTTGTTGAGAGCTATTTTGAATGGTTGAAAGTGCTAGTATCTCGTAGGAAAGCTGTATTGAACATTTGTAGTGCTGTTTCCCTAGCTGTCCAGTGTTTCCTTTTCTTCAGTTTGATCTTGGCCACAACCAGGTGGTGACCTGAAGCTACATCAGTTCATCTTCTAGTTCTCACGTCTTCGATTGTCTTCTGAATTTTATTGATAAAAATATGATCTATCTGGCCCTCCGTAAGAATATTGTGCCACATATAACCATTTTATTGAATCCACACAAATTTCCAAATATCTTACCACTCGCGTTCCTTTCCCTCAGTCCGTGTCGTTCCATGATACCTTCATACCTGATGTTGTCGATTCCGACTTTGGAGTTTAGGTTTCCTATCAGGATGGTCAAGTTCTTTCTAGGACACTTCTCTATAATCAATTGCAGCCTCTCGCAAAACTGATCTTTATATATGAAGTGTCATAAGATCAGCTATAAACCTTTTTCATGAAATATATTGTGATGTTCAACATACAATGAATTTCCAGAAATAAATATCGCTGGACGTATATATGAAAAACCAAATTTCTTACTTCATTGATAATCGTAATTTTGTTTAACATTAAGATATATAAATTGGGATTTCGATACCTCTTACCGAAACGCTGATAAACATATTAAGTAAACTATTCGCATTATGTGATAAAATTAAAGCCAGACATGGTATGAAATTCATCAAGTCGACTCCATTCAAATTGAATTGAATGTACTATAAGGTGTTTTTTTAATTATAGACATTCTATAACGACGTGTCTTATGTAGGTTAGAATAATGAACAAACTATCGCTGAAAATTTGTCTACTAGTGATTAATATTACTAAAGTAATCTCATCAATTGAATTATGAGAGTACGAAATCAGATGTCACTGAGTTTTTAGGTTAACTCTCTAATCAGGCATAAATTTTCACTCATGGTAGCAGCTAATTTCCATTAATAAGAGTAAAATGCATTTCAATATCAAATTGAACACCTTCAAATGTATATATAAGTTATATGAGCATATAGTACATGGAATAATGTAGGCATCTGTAGCTTGTGTTTAAAGTAGTCGAACAATTTACCGTCATTCAAATATATTTTACTGAAAAGTACTCATTAAATGCGTTGATTAAACGTTTGTGCTCACCTAACTCTATTTTCTACATTTATTATTTTAGAAACGAATACCTATATCATATACTGTTTTGTCAGATGACCCATCAGTTGGTAAAAGAATGCCAATACGTAAATTTACTTGTCAAGAACCAGAATTTATGCAGTCACCAGTAAAAGAAGTTGATCTTAGTGATCCATGTTTCTCACCATATATTGGACCTGTCCAACTTGCTCCAGGTGATCATGCAATTCCTTTTGCGTTTCCTCTTGAAAGTGATGCCCATCCGTCAATATTACTGAAGGGTAAAGTTGGTTTTACGCATGAGGTAGAAAATTATACATAGGTAAGATTATTTTTTTCCCAATCAAACTATGAAGCTGTTTTATAAGCTGTTATGATTCTATTTCAATTGGGTATGTTTAATTTATTAAATATTAAGTCGTTACTGGTAAAAATGAACTGCTATATCAAATAGCTGTTATGTAATTCAGCTATATTTTAAATAAAAACTCCATTTTCAAAATATGGAAATTGAATTTTTCACATAAAACGACTCCTCTTAGTTTCGTAGATGACGTTTTATTTAATCTAATAAATATTTTGAACAAATTCAGTAGTTTTCCTTTGTATATGTTTGAGTGAGATCTCTAATAGGCTAGCCATAAACTGTTTATTAGAAAATTTTCTGTATGTATGGAATATAATGAACGATCAACTGATGATGCTATATTCACTAAGCAACATCATCCAATTGCTAAGCTCTACTGCTATTGTGGTGGACGCTACTCACAGGATTGTTTGTAGGTAGTATGCAGCAGAAAGCGGAGTCAAAGTTGCAGCAATTGTCAAACGGAGTAAATAGGTTTAATAAATTGAAAGAACGGCTCTTGATGGATCACTTAGAAACCAGACGAGGAGGTAATCCAGATGGTAGAACATACCGAAAGATGAAAATGAACGATTGAAGGCTGTGAATATATATTATGTAAATGCTTAGACATTATTATCATGACCTACATCATCAACCATGTATATGTACAGGTTTGATAAGGTAGGAAGAGCTTTTATTATTCATAAAGCTGTGAAAAAATGTAGTCAGACAAGAGTCAGTTAATGACACTTACGAATGGTTGCCATTAAGGTCTGTTACATTTTGCTGTGTTCTAATTGTACGTGGTTATGGGAAGGTTTTAGTTTTTGTATCTCCAAATAAACAGTTGTAAACGAGGTTTTATTGTGACGCTAAAATCGATTGTATGGACTTTAGTCATAATATTTCAAGTTAGCTAAATGTGATTGTGAAGACCATTTTTTTAACGAGTTTGACTGGTTGGCTCAATTCTTGAGTTGCTGGGTTATTAATTTGAAAGCTTTTAGCCAAAATCTTCCGAAAATGCTTTTCAAGACCAATATTCAATGAAAAACTGATTCATTAAATTCTATGATTAATTTATTCTTATTGAGAGTCAAACTTGGGGACTTCATATTAAACTGCAAACATGTTAAACAGTGAACCAAAGGACTGGTAATCAGTTTAAAGAAAAATGTTTTAAACAAATAAATTACCATATCACTGGTATACTACTAGTTAGTTGACCAAATAAGATGGATCCAGTTAATTTAGAGATAAAATGTCGTCAGTTCACTCCAGCATATGTTCTAGGCTTATGGATTTCAGTTGGATCCACATCCGGCTTAACTCTAACATACAGTAATCTTTATATGCATATACAAAATCACTTATTATGTTTATTTATGTAATTCATTCTGATAGTTAACACTGACTCATAAACTACTTGAATTGGTTTAGTAATTTCGTATATACATATAATTATTAGTGCATATCTGAGTAAAGCATGATGAGAATGTAATTGATAAATCGTCTGTCTGAACGCTTGAATAGGTTTCCTAAGCTCTATTAATAATCCCAGGCTAAATCTATACGACAACTTGAACACGATATAAAAGGCACGAATATGGAAGGAATGCTTTACTCCAAGGTTAGTTTATGTACAGAGAATTCAGGGTATTTATAGTATTTCAGATAGCTTTGAGCTTCTGGATAATTCTAGAACCTTTCTAAACATAGTAGCAAGATAAGTAATCATCCAATCAGAAATGTGCCACCTGACTCGCCATTTTCTAAATGTTTCTGAGAAACGTTACTCAATGCTAATTAGATAAAATGTTTCCAAGAGTTTTCAGGGTCCCTTCGAGCTTTTTGAGGGATATTCCGGGTCTCCCCAACAATACTTAAAAACAATATCGTTCGCTTATATATGTTCTAATTCACAATATGATAATTTTTGAGATTTTATAGAATTTCGCCTTTTTCTGTTTACCGTTATCCTTTCATTAATTTTTTTACATTAGATATTATATCTATGGAACCATCAGATTGAGTCGACCAAATGAAAATAATTCAGTAACAATCAGTACAGATAATTTAAATGTCAAAGTTCTTAGTTGTGGTCCACCAAATTATACACTTCCTAATGGTGGACGAATACCGGCTATCATGAAAACATTTACAATGGAAAATAGACAAATGCTAATACAGGTATAGTTTTTTAAACACTGTTCCTTCCATTATTATGATTATTATTCAATAAATACCCTATCAAACAAAACTTTTTCCACTTACTTATGATCTGATAGTCGAGATCATGGGTCAATAAGAGCTAAACCACCATAGAAAACCTAGAAGCACTGGAAAGCCGTTTCGTCCTATTGTAGGACTTCTCAGCAGTGGGCATCCACGATCTCGCCCGGCAGGATTCGGACCCAGGACTTATCGGTCTTTCTGTCATTTTACAATCATTGAAATAATGTGATTATCTATGAAATTTTTACAAAATTCTCAACCAAATCATCATTTTTAAAAAAATTATGGTTTATTAAATGTTACTATAAATTCAAATTTATTTAGTAGTATTTTATTAATGGCTTTATTCAGTATTATATTTTTGGTACAATATAGAATTATCAGCATAGAGTATTTCGAAAAGTTTCCTTTTCTTATTTCTTAATCGATCTTGACGATAAATATTAAGTGATCGCCAGTTAGATATTAGCAGTTCAAGAATCGATATCTGAATAATGTTTATCCTTTTCAATGCATATTGTCAGAAACCACAATGTCATTGATTGTACTTTTTTATAACTTGTACAGTGAAATGTCGTAAAATTTTCATAAACACACCTGAATAGGTTATGCGATTAAGAGGCAATAGTGATGTGTTAAACAAAAACAGATAATTTATTGAAATATCCAGATGAAAGGAACAAGTAGCCTAAATATTCGAGTAGGCTATCAGTCTATCCAAAATCATATTGATAAATCAAGTCAGTTTTTATACCGTAAAAGATACTGAATGGATTAAGTCTATCAAAATTCTTGAATATCAGTCTCATTATCCTATCTAACAATTATTATTTCATAATGAATTCAATCAATAGAATTTGACAGAAATGATATAACATTTCTTTTGTTAGTTATTTGAATTAGATTTTGTTAATATGATACAATATACATAATGAAAACATTATAAACAAACTATCCAGGACAAACAGAATGTGATAACATTGAAAGTATTTTGGTGAAGTTTTGTTCTCTGAGCTGGATGGTTTGGTCGTGGAGCCTTCATCGTTCTTCTGAACGACATCATCAGCACAAACTTCAGATAGAAATGAAGTGTTCGAAATTCTCCATATGTGCACAGAACAAGCTGTGAAACATATGTGGAGAAATTCGAAAACTTCACTTCTATCTGAAGTTTGTGCTGATGATGTCGTTCAGAAAACGATGAAAGCTCCACGATCAAACCATCCAGCTCAGAGAACAAAACTCCACCAAAATCATCCACCTGAGCTACAAATCTTCTCCACCATCTCAACATTGAGAAGAATTTATTTGAATTACAAGTTACTTGTTTCCCCACTAATTTAGTTATATTTCATACAACATATATGATACATCATGATACATCTTTAATTACCCTACTATGTACAGGTATGTCAATATCTGTAATAATGTTGATTTTCAAATATTTTTTCTCTCGGTTGTAAGAAACTGATGAGAATCTAACGAAATAAAATGAATTCATATTATACTGTACCAATCTTCCTTATTGCTCTCTTTAATTTAGTTATAGTCTTAATTATAACTTATGGAATAGCATGGATACTATCTCTATTGTAAATTATCTAACCAACTTCACATAATTCACAGATTATTAAATTATTTTTGATATTTTTCTATAAAACACTTTAGTTAAGTATAATTTATGCACATGAATATCTTATAATGATTTGAATACTCTTAGTTATTTTATTTTTACTAAAATGAATCAGTTTTATATATTACTTTAAGGGAACTAATATCTAGTTTGTATTCCTTTTGATAATGTGATCACTTTTCTAATATTTCCTAATATCATTCTATAAATTTAGTATATTATAAACTTTTCTAAGTTGCTATGACAACAAATTTCAAATAAGTACATAAGACTATGCTTTAATTCACAAGCTTAATATATAAACTTCCAAAATTGAGATATAGGGAATAAGATGGTACAAAAGCATTCACTTTTAAAAAAAAATTGATTGATCATTTAAGAAAATATCAAAATTTGAATTATACAATGTAGTTGTTATCAATATATGAAATTTGATCTTTCTAAAATTATCAGTATGGAGATTTGTGAACCATTTAGTATTTTAACAGTTGAATACACGAATTGATCTAAGTTGGATCATCATTGAAAATCTAAAAGCACTGAACAGAGCACTTCAGAAGGAGTCTTATACTTGTAATGTTCGTCTAGTGCTTTCAAGTTTTCACTGATGGTCTAGCTTACATCAGTTCCTAAATTCATCTGTCTTTTAAAATTATGATCAAAAACTTTAGCAGTCTATTCAGCTTCCATAAGATTATTTCAAGAAAACTATTAAGTTCATTGAACATTTGACTTTTTTTCTGGTTGGATTCATTTTAACAAAATACAATTTTAAATTTTTATTATCGTTTACAGATTGAAAATATAATCTTTCAAGAGGCTGATGATATTAACATTTATATATTTACGGATGAACCAGTTGGTATACGTTATGCTGAAGCTTATTTACTTCGTATATTTCATATACCTGGATTAAAAGTTTCTGATTCAAAAGCACTATATAAATTGAAAAAGTATCCTCCTAATGTTTTTATTGATGGCCGTACAGAAAAAACTACTTTTACTGAAAATCTACCCTTACCATTCTCTGAAGCAGCTGAAATTGAAAGTGGACGATTATTTTCTAATTCACAATATTTACCAAGTCATTATCGTGATTTTCGTGTATCATGTGAATCTTTAAACTCAACAGAACAATCACAAAGAACATTACATTGTGAAACATATAAAGATTTACCTAGAGATGCCCGTAAAGCCGGTTGTCATTTAACTTTAAACGTTCCAATCAATTCAGTTCCACAAAGCTGCTTAGAATCACTGAAGATAACTTATTATATTAGGGTAGGTTAATTGAAAGTAATCAAGTCATTTGACTATAATGTCATACTTTTACTTAGTTTGTCACCCTTTGCCAGTTATTTCTAAATGTGTCATAGATTTCTACTCAACTTACGCTGTTATGACCGGGATAAGAATTCAAAATTAGATTGATTTACTCAATATGGTTTTTATTCAACATTAATTCCGTTTTAATTCAATATGACGATTACTCAGTATAGTACTGGTTTCGTTTTCCCCTATTACATTTTATTCTGTATAACATACGACATTCTTATATGAATTATGGGTTATCAAACCAATATATAAATGAGTGTATTTCCGACTAGATGGGTCGGGATTACACGTACTTCTGGCTGCTTGCGGAATATATTTCCCGGCTTCGAACATGAACTTCTCTCTCTAGTTAGCGGGGCTGGAACGCATCAGAATAGCTAGCTTATTGGTTTTGATCACAGAGTCTTTGTTGCTTTCGCAGACTAGGTGAATTCGTAATCGCTTCAAACATAGCATACTCATACACAGAAAACTAAACTGTTTAATTTCATTTTTCCCAGGAAGAATTAAAATAATTGTTACGTTTTACCATGTTATTTTTAAAAAATGATCTTAACTGAATAGATATGTTTAAGTAACTTGGTAAACGAAATAATAAGTAAAACGATTAGAAATGTGTATCATTTTAATGTAATATCACTTTTATATAGAATTGTTATAATATAGTTGGTAATGAAATTCAGGATGTGCATTTCGTCCCACTTGGGAATCGCCAGCTGAAGTGATGTTCACTCCGAGATTTGAAGCCAGCGCCATTTGTTTAGAAAGCCTATGCCTTATCCAATAAGATGCAAACCCCAGATAACCGATTGCTTGTGTAACATTACTTAGTTAGGTTAAGTAGTTTAGGGGCTATAGAAATCTGAATAAATAGTTAAAACACTCGTTAAACTATTTTGAAAATAATGGATTGTTTTACTACTAGATTATTTTCACAGTCAAAGTCACGAGTTGAGCCAAACTAGACCATCATTGCGAATCTGGAAGCACTGGACGGCCATTTTGCTCTAGTATGGGACTACCCTGCTGTGCACATCCACAATTCCATACGAAGGACTAAAACCCGGAACCTTCGGTCTCGCACGAGAACGCTTAACCTCTAGACCACTGAGTTGCCATCCAACGGTGTTTGTGTCTGACTTTAATCAACCCATGATTTTGCAAAACCCTTCATCCGTTGTCTGAGATCGACAACAGTCTGGCAAGTGACGCGGTTTGGACTTCACTGATCACGGCTTCTCACTTAAACTCCAGGTGATCCAGAAGTTAGGCGTCCGTGTGCGAGACCGAAGGTTCCAAGTTTGAGTTGAGCATGTGGAATCGTGGATGTGTACTGCAGGAGAGTCCTATACTGTGATGAAATGGCCATCCATTGCCTGCAGGTTTCCGATTGTGGTCGATTTTAAATCGACTCGTAATTTCAATTGCGAAAATTCTACAACTTCCACAAATCGTCATACTGATATTAGATTACTGACAAAAGACACTCATATTACTTACAGTTTATAAGATTAGCTGGCGAGAAAATTGATATTATATGCTACTATCGTTGCTATTTGGTTTGATTTAAGCTACCACTAAATGAATCAGACAGTAAATATTCATTTTCTTAGAATTAGACAATCTATACTAATAATCCTAACTGATTCCTTTCTGTCTTTATACTGTTTCTAATTTTATGCTAATTTCTGATTATTTTTATCAGCTGAACAGTGATAAACATTTGATCTAGTTTGTTCAACATTATTTTGTAAATGGCATCAACTGATTATCATTAGCTAAATCTACCCTAATTAAACCATGAATTTAGTTTATGTTAGGTTTTTAATATGTATTGGAACTTAAAAATATGAATAAAATCATCTGTGGTATTGTTATAGCTTGAGATTCTAATCGATATCATGTGCTAGATTATACAGTGAGGGTTCCGATTATCTAATAATCCACCTATACAGCGACTGGAACTGGCAACTTCCCATTTCACGAATTTACACATTGATTAATTAAACACAAACAAGGCCTTAAAGCTTATTGCTTCTTGAACTTCTTTTAACACGATAGCCAGCTGGAAGATGAAGTTGGAAAACAGATTAGTTCTCACTTGTACTCAAAACGCCTACAATAATATACATGAATTGACTGACCAAACAGTACACCAAGTATGAAATCATACTTTAAACATAACATTGTAATAAAGGGTAGAGGATGAAGCAAACGATACATAATTAATTGGCAATAAATAAAGGATAGTAAGACATATAGCAGTGTTTACTAGGTGTACTGTACACTGATAATAAGATAAATATGGAAATACGGTAATACAGTTATCTACGAACTATACCACAGAAATATGAATGGTTATAATCCGAAAGTTTTAACTTCCCCACTAGTCTTCTCGTTATAATGAGTATCTAATTTAGGGTTAAAACTTCCCATGTAAAAATGCAAAATAAAATGTTCAGCTGATAAGTACCTAAAGAGTGTTGATTCGCTCATTCCTCTGTATTGACATTTGCTATTAATAAATGCATTTGAAGTGACATAATGTAATATTTTTACTAAACTTGCTACATATATACTAAAATGAATGTCATTAAAAAGCCCGTTATCATTTTTTATTAATTAACAGTTAATCAGAATTTTCATTGAGACTATAATTTATGGACGAACCAATCAGATTTAGGATGACATGTCTTGGATTTTGGCTCGAAATTCATTCATTCATTTGGCTAAATATAGTTTTAGCATTTTAGCTTATGTCAAGCCGTGATAAAAATATTAAATCTGATTCTTAACCTTAACTATCAACTGTAAATCATAATTCTTATTCTTCACACAGATTTATAACTTTCATTTAACCTTAATAGTTAGGTGGGTGTATACTCAAGATCACATTAACATTGCTCAAAGATCATGCATAAATTATAGTCTCATTGAATTTTCTTATTTTATCCATGAAAATAATCATTTTCTATAATATCTTATATATCTAATAATTTTATTTTTTAGGTACTTATACATGGTAAACGTAAAGTAATGGCTTATAGTTTACCAATATCAGTAGTTGAACAACGTACTAAAGATTATAAAATGCGTTATTTGGGTGAAGGCAATCATATATACGATCCAGAATATTTAAAATTAAAACGTGACAGTAAATGTTCCGTTTCATAAAATTTGGATACAAATAAATCAGCTGATATAATACAATGACATTTAAAATTAGTAAATTTATCAATCATTAGTTACAACTTATCTAGGAGAAAAACGGAGTGAAAGAGAAAAAAAAACACATTAATGTTAGATTCTTTTTGTTTGTTTGTTTGTTTTTGTTATTGTCTGAATTTGTGTTGTTGTTGTTGTCGTCGTCGTCATCGTTTTGTCTGTTTGTTTGTTTGTTTTTCATCTACGTTGTTACATTGTCCATTATGTTTTGTTATGATACATAGTTGTGGATTCTTTTTATTTACCTTTTTATTTTATTTGGTTAGTTTTGATCTCTTTTCATCTGCTTAATTAACTAAGTTGATTTGCTATTAATAATTACCATCATTGTATTCTATATCTTTGATTTTATCGATTTTCTGATAAAAAAAATATTACAAAAGAGTGAATCATGTTTCATCCATTAAAGTTACTCATCAGTCAATTTATTTAATCAATAATTGATTAATAAATAAATAAATATTGTGGTAAACATTTACATTAATTAAATTCCTCCGAATAGAAAATGTCTTATTTCTTCTAGTTAATCGATATAGGTTTAGATACAAACAAACAAACAAAAACGCCTACATGTTGAGGGATAAATAGTAATAAAAGATAAATATCAGATGGGTTTTGTGGAGATTGTAGTAATTTCAATGGTTAAGATCATGAGTCAGTTGATATGCTCACTAGTGACTGGCTTCACGAAGTATATCCTGGAGTTCTAGTGAGAAGTAGTGACCAGTGGAGTTCAACCAGATCTGTTGTGAGATAGTAACTCACTGAAGATAGTGGTGAATGTTTCACTCAATTTCGTGGATTAGTTGAAGTTAGACATTAACACCGTTGGATGCCGGCTCAGTGGTCTAGTGGTTAAGTGCTCGCGCGCGAAACCAGTAGGTCCTGGGTTGGGATCTCGCAGGGGGCGAGGTCGTGGAGTCCCACGATGGGACGAAATGGCCGTCCAGTGCTACCAGGTTTTCCAAGGTTGTCTAGCCTCAACTGACTCGTGATCTTAACCACTGAAAGTAATAAAAGATGTTTTTTTCCATCTTAATTCTTTTTTTTCATTTAAAATGGCTGGATACAAGAAATTGTTTTCGATATTTGAATTTATATAGGTTCATTCGAAAATAATATTGTTTATGGATTAGAAGATTACTGGATAGAAGATTCTAGATTCACTCCTTGACTACTTGTTTGCAATTATTTCTGTGAAGTTTCACATTAGATAGGAAATTAGTTCACTGTTTTCATGGTTTCCAATTAAATCATTGCCTGAAGTTATTTCATGATGAAAACTATACATAAAATTAAGTAATCTCAATAAACTTTCTCATGATGTTTATAATTTGGAATTTAATAAGTTAAGTTCAATCTTATATCTCAGTACTGGAAAGAAGGATACTGTAATAACGTTTAAAGAAATTACTCTTATTATTTGCATGTAAGTTTAAAAAGCTCATCATTTAAAACGTGTAGAGATTACTTTGACTATACGTAGATACTTCAACTGCATTGTAGTTTCTAAACAATTGTATTGGTTCCAAATATATATATATGAAAATCATACATGTAATATAATAAATAACAAACTTTATGTGAATACTGTTGGATTAACGAAGAATATCATCTCATCAAACTTTACAGTTATACATCTAAATTATTAATCTAAAAGAATGGTCAAATTAAAACTCAAATACCTCCTTTAAATTCATTCATGGCTTATAAGTTAAACATAGTTTCTAAAATAAAATATTAGTAAAACTAAGTCTGTCAATACCAATCAGGCTAAAGGTTCGTTAAATGAAAAGAAGTAATAACTATTCTGAAATGGTGAATAGAATTTGTAACTCGGGAAGATGATTTGCTTAGATCTGCGTTCTCGAAACTAAGCGGTTTAACCGTTAGATTCTCATTGTTTTTCAAGATAAAATCATCAGCATAAACTTCATAGAGGGGTCAGCTAATCAAGTCTCTTCACGTATGAATAACAGTTTATTCTAATAACTGGTTGTTGTTAAAAATTGTCCTTTAGCCGCATACTTAATTTGACTGCCCCCCCTTTTGATCTGAATTTCATCCCTATGGTTGTTCTTGATTTTACTAACTGGTTGATAAATTAGATCAATTTAGATATTTATTGATTGCTGATTCACTTGGGTTCTAAATGTCTAGAAATCCCTCGACGTTCTTTATGTTACCTCTGTCTACGATCTACAAATCTTACCAGTCGAACATTTGTCCACGACTAACTACGTGCATTGATTTAAGTGGAGATACATCGTTGCATCTGACAGCTAATTGTTAGTCAAGTAAATGAAGGTCAAGAGGAATATGCTGTTTCTCACAAATGGTGGATTTTATTGTCTAAGTGATGTCAGGCTTCCAATTTTCTGTCATTCCATGTTTTAGTTTGCATAAGAAAGGCTGAAGTAATTTTTCTGTCTTATTACAATCAACTTCAACAATCCGGTTGCAATCTGCAGTTTGTCTTTCACATATGCTAGGATAATCCTTTCTCTGATTTCTACATTTTATTTCATGACTGTTGTTGGACTTCGTGAGTAGCCGTTCTTTTAATAAATAGTCATTAGATACTTTTCTGAGTTGTTCCCAATGTAGTTAAAGGTTCAATCAGCGTAATATGGTTCACGACGCTTTTGAATTTACAGTCGCTCAGGTTTTTAAATCGAATTCGAGGTTAACAAATTAATCTTTTATTCTTATATAGAGAAAGTTGAATAGCACATTTCTATCTGCATTTTGTACCGATAATATTTTTAGCAAGATAACAGAATCTTCACGGTAGAACTATTTAACTCATAAAATGCAATACTACTGAAAGCGATTGATACTAACGTTGGAAAAACTCTAGCTTTGTGCACAGAAGTAGTAAGTTCAGACGCTTCTTTTACCGCGACCAGCCTAACGCCTAATAAGAGATTTGAAAGATGGATCGTGACTAGTAGTGGAGTCCAGGACGTACTTTTTGTCCTACATGAAAGTGGATGTACCTGAATCCCAGAGTTAATGTTCATTCCGAGACTCCGACCCGGTACAATTTGCTTTAAATGCCATCACGTTATCCATTTAGCTATTGAGTCCAGATGATCACCCATTGCGCAAGCTAGTAAGTTCCAAATAGGACGAAACGTGTGTCCTGAATTCACTACTAGCCACCATCCATCTTTGCTTATAATGCTTGTGACGTAAGTCAATATCGAGGTAATCCGCACAGCATACACATATCCCAATGAGAGACTGATCAATTGCAGTCTTAAGTATCAATGGGAAGATTCAAACAACTAATACAAAATGACTTGTAGGATGACTTATTTTAACTAATGTACATGTATTATTCACCTTTGTCTTGATGTACCTCAAATCTTGTTACTATTATTACAGTTATTATTATTATTATTATTATTATTACTATTGGCGTTTCTTTGTATTGCTGTTATTATCATTCGTCATTTTCTTAACACACGGATAATTTGGTCAGTACTTAACAAACTTTATTAGTTCCTACCGATATCAAATCACTTCATACACTACGTGGTCTACGATCAAATATGTAATCTGGTTTGTAATCATATGACTATTTCTCTCACTCTATATTATCTATATTCTTTCAGATTATTCATCTTAGAAATTCACTGAGTATATAAATTTGTTTTAATTAACATTCCAAGCTAATTATTACATCATTAACAATTACATTGAAATGAAAATTTTTTTGTTTACTGATTTCCATTTTTATTTATATCAAACTTTCATTTCATTCTGAAACAATTTTATACTTCTCATATATATAACTTCAAAAGATGGGCTTACCTAAAAACTTGGTATGTCGATCATTCATTTGGATCTATAACTGTAGAATTTGTAATGAATTTATCGAATATAACAGTCATCATTCATAGATGTGTTTTAATCCGGTAGGATTTTGGAATGACATTTATTGATAATGCTCACTACTTCTTAGTAAAATTAAATTTCTTATCCTCATACAATGTGCTTCAGGGTACCCTAGTAATAACCAAATGATTAAAAATTTATAACTAAAAACTTGATGGGACAAATATTTTTGAGCATTGAAATTCAGCTTCTGAATATATAATTATGAAAAACTTTCTGAACGTTATAATTTAGTCGTTGAATACACGGGGATATTGAAGCATAAGATTACTATGTCTTTAATATACACCTCTGTAACCCCTCTTTAAGAAGTGACCGATAATAGTTACCTGCGGCAAAAGCAGTATTACGATTTAAAAAATTTAATAAGGTGAACAATTCTGCTTAAAACTTGAGTATATTACACAGAATTTTCTTAACAAAGCCAGTTCAGTTTACTCTTGTGTTTGCACACCAAAATATATCTATACTTTAGATAATCACAATCGGTTGAATTGTGTCCTATAACCGAGTCCAATGAAAAGATAGAACTGATATTCAAGTATTCAAAGAGCAATATGTTCTCTACACTAATATTTTAGTCGCGAAATAGAATGTCTTTCCAAACTGTACTCATTCTGTGCCAAGACTAAAATTTGTTACAGTGGAGATGGAATTTTACAGCTTTTAATGTAACTTATACACGGTGGACGACAATATTGGTAGATAAATTGTATACTACTTTTTAATAGTAAATAGTACCACATAATCACATAAATTAATTCACTGTTTGTACTTTTCACGTAAATCATTATTTCATAAATCATAAGTCAAAAACTTGTAAGTTTTCTGTGACAAGTAATTCATAACTGACTAGTTTCAACGATGCATGGTTCACTTTTTAGATATATCGTTACTATATGAGAAAATTATAACATTATCATATGTAAACAGGTTTTTTGAAGAAACTGTTCAAATAAATGTACCTCATTTCGAAACAACTGTAATACTTATAATGAGGTATCAGTCATCAGATATAGGTTGTCTACGATTTCTTAATTACTAAT